TCCAAAGCCAAAATAGATCGACAGCGCATCATAGTGAGATTCTATTTGGCACATATTAACCATCACATGAACTTCATTCTATCTTGAGAAAATAAAAACTTAAAATGTTGTATGAACAATGCCGACATTACGTAAAACCATATTTTTACGACCTAATATTATTCTAGATGCGTAGACGGTTAAAGAATCTTCAAATTGGGCTATCACGAGCGATAAGACCAATAACTCAGAGAATAGGTCAAGCACAATAGTGATGTCACCTATAATCGTATATTAAAGCCCTTATCCCTTTGAGCACCTCCACGACAATAGAATGGAATATATTGTCGAAAAGTGGCCACATAAAAATGACATACGGCTTCAATGGAAAAATAAACCAACCTCGGGCACTTTCGATTTTTTACTACATTTGATATCGTGATGGGATGAAACATTATTTCTGTAAACATTAAAATTTTATTTACGTAGATATTTATTTATTACCTTTATGAATTGTAACATGATCATTTTTTACGGATTCTCTAAGCAATAAATCACAATCCAGTTATGCTAAGCTACGTGGATTTTCAACTAAGCTAGGCCTAGAACCGCGCATCTCCTGAGGATGTCGTCCACTCGTCCGTCGACGTCGGCGAAACGTCGAGAACCATTGCTCAATTACCACGGTCGGAAGTCAAAAGCCCAAGTATACAAGATGGCCGCGTAAATCTACTGCAATTCATTTAGACAATGTTATTGCTTTTGCGTTAATATATTGATATGAGAAATACATATGCATAAAAGGAAATTATGTGAAACATTTTTTCTAATTAGAAGGCGCCTGTAGTCAAATGGTTACAGGTGTTACTTAACTTTACGTTACAGGTAGGTCTTGAGTTCAAATCTCAGGGAAACAATAGATTTTTTCGGTCACAGACACAGAACTCTGCCACTCTCACCACATGCCTGTTCAGCTCATTGGTATAAGTATTTGTTAGCTCAATTGGCTTCGAGCAACGGCACAGAATGCCGTTGCCAGTTCAAATCCTGCCTTTGTCGTATTTTTTAAAAATTTAAAATCAATTTTTCATGTAACAAGATTATGTTGCTCCTGTCTGTTACCTATATACTAAAGATACAAATATAAGAACATATTTATTGCATCCACAAAGCTTTGCACGTAGGCAATATCGAAGCGAGCATAATACATGACACGTTATGATATTTCCCTTATCGGATAAAAGTTTTCTATCGCACCAGGCGGCAAATGCGAAATCGTAATAAAAAGTATCCATGTCACATGTAAAATAGCAGTCATAATATTGAAAACTTCCAAAGTCCATCAATAAATGTTACGTTAGTACTGAGTGGGGAGTTGTACGTGTTTTCAAGGGTTGGCACGGCTCTGTCTCGTAAAGTTTCAATAGTTTTACAAAACAAAAAAATAATATCGAATTTTCGGATAAATTCTGTACAGATCTACAACATAAGATAGATATTAGTAAGCATATTGTGCAGAGCATATACGAGAATATTTTATAAAAAATGTACATAACTGCATATGGCAGCCACAAATCTATGCTTATTTCATTTTTTTACTTACGGTAAATAGTTAATAAAAAAAAAAAAAAAAAAAAAAAACCACAACCAACTTGTGTGTCTCCAAAAGACCTGTTTAATGGATACGTTCCTATACCTCTCGCACTGTACACAACATATAACAACACAACACATTCAAAGTAACCCTTAAAAATTTGTGACAGCCCTACTCCTTTCGATAGTAACGTCCGGGAGGCGTCAAAACGCATCGACCTCAACTATCAAAGAGAAATCTTTTCCGTGTATCAATAACGACGACCGCGGCGTCAACCATACATAACGCAGTTTATAGCTATATATATATATATATATCATAGGTAATGGTGATCTGTGTATTGATATTTTTTGGGAGTATAGGAGTACACCTAAACTTATTTTTATTAGTAATTTAAAGCAATAATAATAATAATATTTATTATTTAATTAATTAATTATTATTTAATTTGTTTTGTTTTTCTGTGTAGAGGTAGAGACTACAAGAAGCCCAGACGCCCAAATCCTTTCAAATTTTTTGTTTGTAAATAATTAAAAGTCCTTACTTTTTATATTTCAATATAGAAATTATTATGTTATTTTTTACGGTCCTCTACGAAATACAGTTTGAGATTTTTAAAATACTCGTTCCACAAATTTATTTAATTGACAAAACCTTTTAAGTCGACTTTTAATAACATTTTTTTTAATTGTCAACGATAACCTGAATTAAAAGTAGTTAAGTTGAAAAAATCAGTTAAAAAACCCTAAACGTTTTCTTTATATTTTCATATTACTCATAAACGCGGGTTAATATAGTTCGTTCTCCTATATAACATAAAAAAGACCTTCGTTTAAGTTGGTCCATAACTATAGCCCTCGAAATATATAGCAAGGGTTAAAAAATAAATTTTAATGATCGTTTAAATTTCGAACGCTAAAAATCAAGCGACCGTACTAGGAAAAAAAATAATCATAGAAAAAAATATATATTTTAATTTATTTTATAATATGATTTTTTCAATGATCCTTCAAATCTTGTACACAAAAAAGCCAATAACAAGTCGAAACACCACACAAGCCCAAAAAATGGGCAATATTTATCGCCAAATCACAACAAAGAGCATCATTTCAGTGTTGTGAGGGCGTGAAATTATTTTCCTTGGCGTATGCAGATTAGGGGAGGGTGCAGACGTAGCGCAGGATTAGTTCCGGTTTACTTTTTATAGGATTTCGATGATAAATGCTGCCAATGGAAACATGAACGGGTGGCGCGTGTAACAAGTCTTAATAGTCAGTTTTTATGTGCTTATATCCGAATGTTTTCTTATCGATAAGTTACCTATACATATAAACGACTAGCCAACGTTCTTTTGCCATATGACATTTTCGACGTACTTTCATTTCCATAAAGACGTTTTCTGTGAGTTAATCTTAAAAGATATACATATAAGTTACGGACATTTTAAAATTATTAAAAGAAAAATATTTTTTTCATAAATATTTTTGGGTATCCGTTTTCGCAGCGCACGCAAGGAAAACTTTCAATGGTGAATAATTTTTCCCGTTTTTTTTCACATTTCCCTCTGTTTTATAGCTTCTACTGGCCGCAGCCCGTTTGTTTTCTTTAATAAACACTTCAAACAACACAAAAAAATATCAATTCGAACCAGTAGTTCCTGAGAGGAGTGCTTCCAAACAAACTTTTCCGCTTTATAATATTAGGATATTATCAACACATTGGTCCAGTTGACAAGTTCTTTTTTTACATATAATAGGACAAGTACGGACATAGATGGTAGGTGAAATAAATCCAATATAACTAAACAAGATAACGCCTGTTCGTCGACAAATTTTTGTTTTAGACATGGCATTAGTTGTTTATAAACTAAATTATTTCTTTTTAAGTGTATTGTATGTGTGTATAAAGATACTATGCATAAAAAAACAGGGGCGAAAATCTAATTGAATTACTCAATAGTCTTACGTTTAATATTACGATCCGTATAGTGATGCGTAGCACATGCTACGGTTCGGTTTCAGACAAAAAACGGGAAAAATCAGGAGACAGACGGGAGGATGGGCGATCGAGGATACAAAATATGATTTATAGATCGGCCGTCAACGGCAATACGCTTTCTATACGTCAGAGACGTGTCACCGCGTCGGGAAAACGAAGAAAAATATACGGGCGTGTAGATTTATTTCGACTCAATATTTACGCACAGGGGAATGAATATTAGTACATTAAATATGCATCTTTGTGAAATTCACTGAAGACGGCTTTTATTATCTGTGTTTTATGATAGAGGACAGACAAACATTAGGCACTCTTGATTGTAGTGAAATAACCCGGCTAAATAACGAATCTAAACGAACTAAAATCACGTTTGACCAATAATATATAAAAAAAAATGTTGATTACTAGCTACAGATTACACCAACCAGTCCCATCAGTTGATTTACCTTAGCGTGACTGTTGCTTTGACGATGTATTTAATAAATTACAAAAAATAATAATAATTATACAATACATTCATACTGTATTCTTAGCATAAATACTTACTAATATTTTTTGGCACAGCGACTTCACTGCCCGCGGCTATAGATGTCTCACATCAAAAACTTGTCCAACATCTACAAATAACAATTGTATCGAATCGAACAATAATCGCTCATATTGTCAGTTACAATACAATTTGTTTGGAAAGTCGACGCGTGATAGAAATAATAACAAATGATTCGCGCCCTAACGCCGTCTGGCGTTGAAAGATCACGCCTATGGCTGTGCCGCTGATGAAAAAAAGAAAAAACCATTAGCAGCTTACGCAACGTAAAATTGAAAAAGATTGGCGAACGCATCACATACTGATATATGTTATTCGTTTTTGGTCGGGTACACAATAGAATATTTGAAACGTTCTTATTGCAATTTGAAAACACTACTTTGTAAAAAGAATCGTTGACACGGGTCTCAAACCCACAACTACGGCGTTCCGCGCTATTCTTACTCTTAAATCCTTGCTACGTCAAAATGAACATAATTAGATTTTTAATCTGACAAAATAATATATAAATTTTACACTTTTGCTTGACTAATTCGCATTATCAATTTTTATGTACCTGGTTTCAATTACCACAGATACAATAAAATAATATTATGATCCTTAATTATTGTGAGATGAGGGGCCTTAAAAGTTAATTTGTATATATGATACGAGATGTCGCGCAAATAAGTAAATGAATCACAATAACGTTAGAATTTGATAAAATGCGAAAGATAGCGCGATTTGCAATTTTACGACCTTTTCAAATAATCAATTTGTGTAATGACAATATCTTATTATGCTCATAAGATTCATAAGATTATTCAGGTCTTAGTCATATGGCACTTACACTTGTATGCCTAATTAGGGTATGATGTAAACAAAATGTATTATATCAAAACTTTATTCATCTTCCTTAACATCATGTTTCTTTCTCTCTGGCACAATGGGAACAGCTCCAGGCTTACTGTGGGCCCGTCTATTGGCTTCCTTCTTCTTGGACTTTTCCCGAATAGTCCTCAATTCCTTCTGAGCGTTCAATATGTGTTTCGGCACGTGTCTGTGTCGCGCTATACGTTTGATCTGAGGGTGACCAGCGAATTTCTCTTTCAAGGAGTCAGCATAATTCAAGGCTGTGCGTTCGCGGGGTTTTAACTGAAATAAAAAGTTGTAATAATGTATTATTCATAATAGCCAACCAACTGGTAGGTTGGGATTTATATACTCAGTTGAATACTAGAAATCTTATTTACATTGAATTAAATAATTTTTAACAGTTTAGCTGCTAATTATAAATGGTAATTATTTTTGAACACACACCCTGACATTTCTATTTCTTAGTGAAATGTTTAAAAACATGATTATTTTTTATTTATTATATCTCAATTGATTAAAGCAATAGAATAGACATCTATGGTGGTGGATACAATGACTCAAGTCAAGAATATGTTTAAATAACTAGATTCTCATCATAACTATGCATAAACGATTTTTTATTCTTGACAGAATCTTTTCTTATATATAATATAACTCTTAATTTAGACTCATGTTAATACTTACAACACCCAATTTTTCAGATGCTCTAGCTTTCCACATTCTAATATTCATTTCATCAGAACCGGTCATAATATACTTATTATCTAAAGACCACTTGACACAGGTCAGTCTTTGCATTCTTTTCGTATGATACACATCCCGCGAATGGCCTTTCAATGTTTCAAAAATTCGAACTGTCTTGTCATAACTTCCTGCCACAAATTCTCGTCCAGTCGGAGCATAGTCTACATCGATGACTGCAGATGTGTGGTCAAGGTGTATGTTTACAGGTTGCTTTAGCTTTCTTACATCAAATGTGTATAAACTGTAATAATATATACAATTAAAATGAAGAAAAGTTAAAACACTTTAATGGATTAAAACGGGATGTATATTAGTTAATTATTTTAACTATAGCCTTTCAGATGCTTTGACAAACTAAACTAAGTTTAAAAATCTACTGTAGGAGTAGGACTCGGTATCTCAATTGGTAGAGCAACAGCACGGAACGCTGACGATGCCGGTTCTAGTCCTGCCCGAGTCGAATTTTTTTTCAATTTATTTTCGATTTTTAAACTGTATAGTGCCCTTATGTGCAATAACATGTAAAAAAAATAATAAAGTATTCTAAACTAAGTTTACCTAATGTACATCGCATTTTAAAACTCTAGAGTGTTTTATTTAAATTTGTGATACGTAAACTACAGACAGTATTTAATCATTTTTTAATCAACTCATTGTTTTTCTAAATATTAATGTACATGTTTAATCAATGAGAGCTTCAAAGTTCCTAACAAATTTAACTACCATTTCATTAAGCATACAGTCAGAATTTTGAGTTATTTATTAAAAGATACCAATGAAAATGTTAAGGGGAATATTTCATTTAGGTTGTAAGCATGATTTTAATACTAAATATTAGTATTAAAATCATGCACTTTTTTTTAATTGTAGTCAAAAATATACTTACTTATAATCTTCATTAGCAACTGTGAACATGAAGGCTTCCATTGGATTCCAAGATAGTGCATTAGACCTCAGTTCTAGTACAACTTTCCTCAACGGTGCTGTTTCTCTACAGTCATATAAAATAATACTTCTGTCGCTTGCACATGAGGCTAGTAAATTATTTTCAACCTGAAAGAAAACATATTAAGTAAACTTTCAATTACTTGATGCCTGCATAACTCAAAAACAAAATAGGTTAACAACACATTTTGATAAGATGTTATATGTTTGAAAAGATTAATATTTTTCACATGTTATTGCACATGAAGGCACTATATAATTTAAAAATTGAAAGTAGAAAAGTGAATCCTATGCTTTTTTCCTCCTCTATTATGAATAAACCTAAGTAATAAAAGTAGTTTTTGGAATTGGTGGGGGCATATCTACAGTAGCAAAATAGATAAAATATTCCTAATAATGATTATCAACACTATGTTTGATATATATCAGTTCTGGTTTGTGATTCTATCAATTTTGTTCCTGCCTACTATACTAATATTTATAAACATCTTAAATACATATTCTATATATTTTATTTACATATTATTTAACACATAAATAATTAATTTACCTGATTAAATGCAACATGATGTAAACTATCTACGCCCCATTTAAATACCTTTACAGGTTCATTTCTAGTACTTTCCCACAATTGACAATGTTCTCCACATGTAGCAAAAATTGGTTTATCTCTATGATGTGAAACACCAGACACTACTGACATACTTAATAAAGTGTTCATAGGGTCTTCATCATCAGGATTCTCTACTTCCGATTTCCATGTCTTTATAGTTTTGTCATCTCCGGCACTAGTAAATGTTTGGCCATTTGGAGTGAAACATATTGATCGGACCCAACCTTCGTGCGCTATGAAGTTTCTGGTACACTTCCTTGATGTTAAATCCCAGAGCCTTATTTCTCCATCAAATGCTCCACTTGCCAACATAGATAGTCTGTTGGGATGCTTTGCCATACTGGAGACACCATCTGTATGACCGTCTAGGCTGCCAAGAAATGGTTTAGCAAACACTCTTTCTAATTTAACAGCATTTAAAGCTCGAACGTATTCGCGAGGCGCCTCAAGAGGGTGTTGAGTTGGGTCATAGTTTCGCTGAACTAAAAAAAAGAACAGTTTAGATCAACCTATTATTATTATTGCCCATATAATTAATTATTATAAACATCCCAGAGCAAACTTACTTTTATGTATATCTCGTTTAGTAGCTCGCAAATAGTCTTCTGGGTTGCGACTTATAACTTTTATTTTCAATCCAGACATTTTTGATATTAAAAGCTTTCGACGGATTAAAATATACTTCTAAACTTGACGTGCTATTCTAAAGAAATTTAAACACAACTAAATTCATAATTCTGTAATTCCTCATAATAATAACAGAAAAATGTTAATTATTTTGAGCAGGAGTAGAAATTATAACCTCAATCTCAGTGTATATTAAGAATAACAATAAGTACACCGTACACGTGACAACTGATTCATAGCCAATGTCACAGGTAACTGTCAATGTCAATGTCATGTTCACAAAATCATGCTTTATGCTTTTGACTTTTTTCAGTATTGACTTTTGAGCTTTGACAGTGCTTTAATATTTTGTTGTTATTTGAGAATATTTGTTTGAATTAAAACTCGTTCACATTTACGCTGCTAAACAATGCTTTGAAAAGTCGCGAAAGAATTGCAATTATTAGTGAGCTTTGCAACAAGAAATATAAGATTATATATTTCTATTATGAATAAATTTTCGAAAAGCCAGCGTTAATAGTCTCGGTGAGTAGACTGCATGCCGTATAATATGATAGTAAATATAATATTGTTTACTGAAATTACAATATATTCTTTAATTATGTCATTTCCAATTTTTCTTTGTGAAAGATATTTATACTAAAAGAAAATAACGGCACTACATTATTGTGGGTCATGGCGCCCCAAGGTTTTATCCTTATCCTAGTTTTACCCTAAAACATTTTTCTGTATTTGAGAGAAACATGTAACCCTTCAATCTGGATGTAGGCAATATAAGGCAAATTCCGGCAGTAATATACAATAGGGATAATAAATACTATTATAAACATAAAAGCTTCCCTTAGGTTGCTCTAAAGTTGTACTTTGAAACTTTTATCTTTCCTGCTTTTGTAAATAAAAAACTAATATAATTTAAAAATCGAAAAATAAATTGAAATTTTTACATGTTATTGCACATGAAGGCAACAAATAACATGTAAATAATAATAAAGTTTTCAAAAACCAATATGATCTAAACTGTGTATAAAAAGCAAGATTTATACTTCAGTTCATAACAAAATTTTCAATATAACTCTATACCTATTTATCTAATAATAAATTCTAATAGAACTGCTGTAGTTTCATACAAGTAAAACTAAGAAAAAAATAAAAAAAATAAATGTGACACACAACTGCAAAAAAAAATGCCTTTGATGTTGTGAAATGTAAATTGATAAGGTCATGTCACTGACCTATGTATGAATATACTCAAAAGAAGACAAGCTTTATTAAGTTCTCATTATTAATGTATCAAGAAAAATGTGAGTGCACATGTAACGTGACTATCATTTCATCATAAAAAATATATTTAAACACATTTTTAATACTCAGAAGGTATTTTTAGTATCTTTCTTTTGAACTGTAATATAACATTTAAAACAAATATAAAAAAAAACTAAAGGGCGATTTAGATAATTGTTATTGTATTAATAATATCCTCATGATGATAAGGTCACCGGCCACTAGTTTCCGAGCGAAGTTTTAATTTGTTCGTTGACCCGATCGGCCGTTGCGCGGGAGCACGTACGCGTGTTGATGTCGCGTATACAATCTCGAAAAGAGGAAGTTCAATCTATATGTGTTATAAATATTGTTTTCTCGTTAGCATGTCATAATCTGTGATATATTGCCTGGTGTTCGCGTTTTATGTTTTTCACACTCTCAACGTAATTATAATACGGTATGTATTTTTTATTGAATTTATTTGATTAAGCACCAATACAAACTAATTATATAGTGATAAATCATTTCTACATCTGTCCATTTTGGGACCACGGTCCGATATACAAACCAAAAAGTCTCGTTTGTTCTTCGGGTTGACATAAGAGCTTTTATAATTACGGTTACAGACTGTCATTACAAATTATCTTATAGTTCTAGAAAATTCCTGAATTTAGATGATTGGAAGATACAACAATTGTCTTTTTCAACGATCTTCGCAATCTTGCGCATCAACTTTACCCCTATATATATAAAAGACTACGCAATAACAAGAAATAATTTTAAACATTACCGGCTTATTGACAACGTGGACCATCGCATTCGGTTAGATCGTGGGCGGTGTGTTTCGTCATATCTTAATAATTCAGTGTCCCATTTTGCAGTTAGATGATTAGTTCAAATCTTCGATGCTCAGTTGTTAAACAAACTGAAATGAGAACAGTCATAAAATGATTCTACACTATGATTTCCTTAATTCTATTCTTAAGTCTTCATTGATAGTTTTATTTATATGTCATATGTTTTGTATTCCTCAATTCCTCAAAAAACAATAAAACTAACTATCAGGCCTATATTATGTTCAAACATAAATTAGGTATGGAGTCATTAATTTATATTTCAATTACTGATTTTCTTCCAGCTTAATTTCAAAATAACCATGAATTTTAATGAGAAATTATTTTTTCTGTACATGTAGAATTATATGACACACATTCATAAAGCCTTATAAAAGTGATGGCGCATTGATAATAATCATTTGTTATTAGTCTCTACATTTTTGTTTTGATAATAATTTTGAAATTTCAGGAATCATGCTGATATCAAAGTTCGTAGCTTCGTGCTTGATTCTCACTTGTTCCGTGACGTGGGCCAGGGCAGAATTATTCACAGCAATCTCAGATGTGGAGCCTCTCCTAGAAACCTATAAACGTATTATAGACGACTTAGACGACTACATTGTGAAGGAAGAAGAAAGATTGATTGTATTGAAAAGGTACTAGTATTTTCTAATAAATTTTGAAAAAAAAAATGTTTTTTTTTACAGATTTCATGCAAGTTTAATTAGAAATATCTCTATATTATTTTATATGGAAGTGGCTAGTGTCTGATTTATCCATTTCTATATCGTTATTATTAAGGAAATATATAATTACTTATTTAAAACTGATTGTACCTACTTATTTCATATAGCAATCAATGTAGACTTCGTGTTCAGAACTTGAACTCATGGCTCACAGAGGGAAATCATTTATAATTATTTATTATATTATTAATTTACTATTTATTCCTTGATTGGAATCAGCTACTCTCTCAGTGTATTGCTAGTCAACACGTTAATGCATTAAGCTACGGAGAACATAAATAGACTGTCGTTGAATATTTCACGTTTCTGGAACAATGTACTCATCGTATAAAAACCGTTATGTACAGCATTCAATTGTTTGCCAAAAACTCCCACTGCATACCTAATCACATTTACGTTTTTTCCTTATACTTAATAAGTTTAAAAGGCATTTAACATTTAACAAATTTGAACAAAAAGTATACGCTATTAAATCATAAAACAAAATTACTTAATTGCTTATTATTAAAATTAAATTTTCATTGCAAAATTTAATTAGACAATTTTGGATAAGGAATAAAGAGATGATGATGTTAGCAAATATCTTATTTTAGAGCCGTGTTCTCGTGGTTTGTGCATTCACTAGGTTAGTAGGTACATAGTTCGATTTCCAACATTTTTTACTTTGAGTTTACTATTCAATGACTGTTAGAAAACTTTATTATTTTCCAAATGTACATTGCATGCACACGATGACATTATATAAATAAAAAAAAATAGTCCGCTTAATAAGTATATTGAGACACATACAATTAATTTCAGACATTTGAACATCTACAAAAGAGATCATGAAAGTGCAATGCAAGATATTCCAAACTACTTGGGCAACCCAATAAATGCGTTCACCCTCATCAAACGACTCACCTCCGATTTGGATAATATAGAGCACAGCATCAAGATCGGAACAGGTATGTTTATTTATCGCTGTGTGACTTTTATGCAGATCTTTTTTATTTATAACGGTACCCCGTTGGTACCGCTGCTGCGACGACATTTTTTATCATTTTTAATCAATCGAATTAATGTGTTTGTAAACGTAAACATTTATTACTTTGAATTAAAATAGCGTGCATATTAAATTATTACTGTGATTTATCAACTTTTTGTCTTTTATATATCGCTCAATTGGCGAATTTTAATATTGACTTCGTACATTGACATCGCATTGATTCGCATCATTTGGAGATTATTTGAGAACGTTCCATGTTTAAATTATAAGTATTTATTTGTACTTATCAACGAAAATAACTTCATAGGTAAGCTGATAAGAAAATATATAATACATATATTTATTTAATAATTAAAGCTACAAGTACCTAAGTCACCTTTAAGTTTACGAAGGCTATGGTGTAATAACTTGAACCCAAATGTTACACGTCGATAATAAATGCCAATAAATTCTTCAATGTAGATTGTTTACCTACTCGTGATGAGGACAAATAACTCCTATATCGTCCTCATTACGCCACCACAGATGATGTAGTGATTAGCACATTGTGACAAGTATGATTTTACAAGCTGTGTTTATTTAGAATACAGTGGCAATGACTTATATACACGCACAATATCTATACTAATATATAAAGCTGATGAGTTTGTTTGAACGCGCTAACCTCAGGAGCTACTGGTTCGAATTGAAAAATATTACTTAATTAGAGCATTTATCGAGGAAGGTTGTAGGCTATCGGGATGCAACTTATAGAAGCAACGAAATAGTGGGAAATGTGAAAAAGACATTTATTCATCTTGGTGGATTTCCGATGCTTACGCTGTGAAAACGGTTCTAGGTACCAAAAATATATATATGAAATAATGATTCCTCTTTAAATGATCAAAAAAATGTCTAAAGATGTGGACGAGGTTTACAATAATACATTTTGATTTTCTCAAAATTCTCAAAATATTAACGAAATAAAGACAAAGAACTATCTTGACTAACTTGAATCTTGAGGGCACTCAGAAATAAAAATAATATTTAACGAAGACGAGCAGGATGTTGAATGATATCATCTTAATGTACCTGTTTGCCTAACTATACTCACGACTTTATAATTAGCTCTGAAATTTTCAGTTTCGTACTTTTCAAATTCAAGTAAACTAATGACTTTTAAAATTTTAATTTGTTTTATACAAAAATTTAAATCGATTATTGTTAAATATAAATTATTACTTTATTCTTATGTTTTAATACAAATTGTATTAAAACATAAGAATAAAGTAGTAAGTTAGGACGCGGTAGCTCAATTGGTTATAGCAGCAGCACGGAACGCTGTGGATGCCGGCTTTCTTAAGCCCGCCGTGTCTTTTTTTTTAAATCTAAATAGATTTTAATTGGGAAACGTTTCTCCCAATATTTTTTCGTCCGTTTCAAGTTCACAAATCGACATACTGTAGCAGTTAATGAAAAATGTTAATTTTATTTCAGAATACATTAAGAACCTAACAGTTAACCACAGTGACGTGAAATATCCCACTCTGGAAGACCTGGCCGGAGCGGCACAGGCCCTCACTCGACTGCAGGAGACGTACAATTTAGAAGTGTCTGAATTAGCAGAAGGAAGGTTAAATGGGGTTAATTATAGGTAAGAACATATATTTATTTAATAGTGCAACTGGTGCTAGAAGAACCAATATTTATGCTTATCTATGTTTTACCTTAAACCTTAAGCAGCCCATAGACAATTGTATACTATCATAGTGCAATTTGAATTACACAATACTTTGCCGGCCGCCCACAGACGCTTCGATGTCAAGTGGTTATGGTACAACCCGGGATATTGCACAATAATATTGATTGTCTATGGGCCTCTTTTACACAATTTATTAATATTTATGCATGTTATATCAAATAAACAAGCAATGAATACATTATTTATTTTAATATCTAATTAAAAGCTCATAGGCATTATAAAGGCTACGTAAAATAGTTTTAACAAACTCAAAAAATTGATAGGGGAGAGTATGGAAATTCGTGGTTTTTGAAGCTAGGACAATGAAACTTTCTTCTATGGCTTTCTGGGAATAGGAGTGGGTATAGTAGTGAGAGTAAGAGTTTGAGTTAGAGTAGGCGTAATGTAAGGTGATGCGGCAAAGTAGCCACTAACAACATAGATTGGCTGCCTTAAACGCGCCCTTCCATAAATAATTAAAAATTCTATCCCAAATAATTAATAAAAATGAATAAATTGAATTATATTACTTGAAATAAAACACTTTAACAACACGTTCAAAACACGAAATAATTTAACTAATGTCTGACTACACACATTACTCACATATTATTCAGTATTACGTGGGATAGAATTTTAATATTTCATACTTTGTATCCCTTTCAGTACTCCCATGAGCGCTGGTGATTGCTACGAGTTAGGTAAAACGTTGTACAACGAGAAGGATTACACGAATGCCTTAGCATGGATGACGATAGCGTTGAAGAAATATAAAGAGGAAAATCAGCCGTACCTCTTCAAAGAGACGGATATTATGGAATATATTGGATTCTCACATTATTTACTTGGTGAGAAGTTGTAAAATATACACAACTAACATTACTAACCGCACGTTTTTCCATCAATTAAAGTCATTCCATCTTGCAAAGCTGTCGACCTATATTTGGACTTTGATTTAAATCAGTTCTATACTTTAAATGTTAGAGTGGACTACGTAGAAAGTAGAAACTTGGTTGGTGGTATTGGTTTTTATACATAAAAAGAACATAAAACCAAACAATCATTTTGGTCGTAGTCGGGTAAAGAGGCGTAATTATGTTCATTCAAATCATTTTATATATTCTATAAACAATTTTATAGGTGACGTAAAAACGGCTTTGATTTGGACTAAAAAAATGCTAGCATTAGAACCGAACCACGTTCGAGCGAAAGGTAACGTACCGCATTACAACAAGATTATTGCTGAAGATGAGGAAAAATTACGGAGACGGAGACGAGGGGTAAGTGGCGCAAATATGTTTTGAAAAGTGTATGAAATGTAAAAGATTTACTACTAATATTATAAATGCGAAAGTAACTCTGTCTGTCTGTCTGTTTGTTCGACTTTCACGCCGAAAGTACTGAACCGATTTAAATGAAATTTGGTACACAGATATTCTAGAGCCTAAGAAAGGCTATAGGCTTTTTAATGCCAAAAAAAGGTTAAGGGTTGAAAGTTTGTATAGAAATTTGTGATTTTTGAAGCTAAAAAAAGAAAAATTTTTTTTTAAACTTTTTGGGAATGGGAGTGAGATGAAAAATGGGGGGAGTGATGTGAGGTGGGAGTAGGAGTGTTGCGGCAAAGTAGCAAATATAACACAGATTGGCTGCCTTGAATGCACCTTTGCATTGTAAAACCTTTTGCTGTACGAAAAAAGGTAGTAAGGGGTTGAATGAGGTATGAAAAGTTGTGTGGATGTATCGTAATTAATTTTTATGGGACTTACTAATATTATAAATGCGAAAATAACTACTCAAATAAGCATATAAAAATACACTATTACCTTGGATATACTTATTATGAATACCTTAATAAGCTCTTTGCTGGACTGTATTTTGTGTCTTATTATTTATGAAATAAGTAAATAAACAGCCTAAATAATTGAAAAATTCTACTGTAAGTTATATCAGTAAACCATGGGCACAGCTAGTAATCTATATATTAATAATAATAATCTGTATACATACACAGTTTACATAACTATGGACCAATGAATTAAACAAAAATCAATGTCTCACAAACAGCTGTATAATAATTGTTTAATTAACTATATAGATTATTTAAAAACGAATAATTTTCTTTTCAAGGATACCGGTGAAGACTTAGTTGAAAAGATCCCCGATAAAGAACCCAAGATGTCGCCGTTCGCTAAGGAGCGGAAGGTGTATGAAAGACTGTGTCGTGGCGAAATGGACGTACCGCAAGAAATATCCAAGACGTGGGTTTTTCAATTTTGATTACTTTCAAAAGCAATCAACTAAACCTTCATTTTATATTTAAACTGTACTTCAATTTTACAGGCTTCACTGTCGATATCTAACGGAAAACCACCCGTTCCTTCTGCTAGCGCCGATCAAAATGGAATATATGTACAGAAATCCGGATATTGTTTTGTTTTACAACGTCCTCAGCGATCAGGAAATAGAAGACATTCAAAAGATGGCGAAGCCAAGGGTAAGATTATTATAAATTGAAGTACACAAATACAAGTTAAAACGTGTTTCTGCACACAATCTCTTACAAAAAAAGACACTAAATTGAACATAATTTTATAAAATTACGACCAGACCATTTTTTAAATAAATAAATTCAGTTTATTGATTCTTTACTAATAATAAATGGGGGGTTTTTTTTGAACGCGATAATTTCAGTGACTAGGTGGGAATAATTACTTTTAGCGTTAGTTAGATTATTTCTCGAGTGAAGCTATAAAACATTACTATACGACTAATAGGAGCGATGAAATAGAGGGAAACGTGGAAAAACAGGGAAAAGTATTCATCTTTGTAGGCTTCCGATGCGTACGATGCGAAAGCAGTTCAAGGTACCCAACAAATTTGAACGAAAGAGTGATTCCTCATTAAATTATCAAAAAAAAATATCTACAATGCCTATCTTTTAAGATTCACTTGCAAGAACGCGACCGACGACGGTGGTAGCTTAAGTTTATAAAAATAAGGAGATTTTGCAAAAACAGATTTGGATGCCCAAAATAGCATCTAGCATTTTACGCGGACATAGTCGCTGACACAGCTAGTTATGTATATGTCGCGTTTCAAACGGTATTTTTTTAATGTTACGCGTAAACTTATGTCACTTAAAAAAGATATTTACCTCAGTTCCGTCGAGCCACAGTGCACGATACCAAAACTGGTGAGCTCGTTCCCGCTCATTACCGCATCAGTAAGTCTGGATGGCTGAGGGATGAAGAGTCATCGGTCGTGGCTAAGGTGTCCCGTCGTGTGTCCCACTTCACAGGACTCAGCATGCAGTTTGCTGAAGACCTGCAGGTCGTCAACTATGGTATTGGAGGGCATTACGAGCCACACTTTGATTTTGCTAGGGTGAGTACCCGACGCTTCAGATAACGCGTTGAAGTTATACATTTTTCAATTTTATTTCGTGTTTTAAACAGTTAACCATAACTGTAACGTATGTTAACTAGACTCCATTAATTTATTTACAGAGAAAAGAACCGGCGTTTGAGAAGTACAATGGAAACCGAATTGCAACCGTTTTATTTTATGTGAGTTATTTTTACTTCAAAAAATTAAAAGGGCAAACAACGTTTTTTTAAGGTAGGATTTCCAAAAATCAGGATCCTAAGTCTGCTTATTTACAAATAGTGCTATGACAGTGGTATAATGTAACAATTTTGCTTTTAACTTGTGGCTCCATCTATCTCACCGTAACCGCGGCTGCTGCAAAGCATCCAAAACATCGGGCCGTAGTTAAAATAATTTTCAAACAAGTTAACTAATATATATCGCGTTTTAAACCGTTAAAGTATTTTATTTCAATGGGTACTACTCGTGTAAACTAGAGACAGTGTTTAACAATTTTACTAGCACTACGAACACTTTACAGCATAGACCAATGATAATGAGTCCCTCACATGTATTTGTAATTAAGAAACTTGGGACCCTAGCTACATACTTCATTTACCTTGTTTCTAGATGTCCGATGTAGCCCAAGGTGGCGCCACTGTCTTTACCGAGTTAGGTCTAAGCCTGTTTCCTGTTAAGGGCGCTGCTGCATTCTGGCTTAACCTCCATCCATCTGGAGAAGGTGACCTGGCTACAAGACACGCAGCCTGTCCCGTGCTTACCGGTTCCAAATGGGGTAAGTTAGTTATTTAGCCTTATATATAGGTTGCCTTGAAATATTATAAGAACAGGTTACTGGAACAAATTAGAAATTAATATAGTTCGAAAATCTTTGAAATGTTAGTATTAAATGGTTTTTGGTTGAAATTACATGGCGCAAGAGGTGATCACTAATTTAAGCTAAACATAGACTATGAGTTGCAGTAAACGGTAACTCAACTAGTTAGAGTAACAGCACAGAACGCTGTGGGTGCCGGTTCAAGGCCCGCCCGTGTCGTAATTTTTTTTATTTTATTTAAAGTACATTTTTAATTTAATTTTTATGATCTCTTAGTTGCAAGTAAAAAAAGAATCAAATAGAAAGCTAAAATTAAGCAGATAGGGACTTTGTCATAAAAATATCTTTCTGGTATCTTAAGTTAAAAAGAGATCAAAAAGTTTAAAATAAGAAAAATACTTAAGTATAGGAATAAATATATTTACTATTGTAAAACTTATACCAAACTCTTTCAGTGTGCAACAAATGGATACACGAGGGCGGCCAAGAATTCATCAAACCATGTAATCTCGAATATCAGGCTGAGAGCATGGGACGGAAGATTCCTAGACCAGTGCCCAAATCATCTAGATAGGTAACACTTAACTCTATCATATAACCAGAGACTATAAAACTAAGCCTATTTCTTGCTTCTAAGTGCAGTGCATAAACGTACAAATTACTGCCATAGTCGACAACCATCGACAAATTATAATGTAATTTTTATCACAGCTTGCCTATAGATAGAAAAACGCTATTAAACCAATAGAAAGGCCGAATACTTAAACAGATAATAAAACTATATCTTTCTCTTTCTAACAGATACTTACATTATAAACATAGAAAGAGATAACCGATTTTGCGTTTAAGTACTCGGTCAGAGGCTGCCAATTTAAATTTAAATACGAAATGACATTTTTTAAATAATAATTTATTACATTTGTGAAAGCCATATACAAAAGCATTTATTTATGTGATTTTAGAGAATTAATAATTTGAAGTTTCTATTATTTTTATCCAATTTACTTTTTAGTATATTATAATTACGTAGTTAATATTTTTTTATAAATTTTACGTTTACGAAATGTATAGAATTTTTAATTAATATAAGCTAGAATTTTTACTAGAAAAACAGTGAGCTAATATATAACAAAATCTTATGACAAACAATGTACCTAAGTTAAGTTAATTAAAAGAATAAATGATCAAAATATTTGTAATTTACATTTTCGTTTGTATTCATATTCAATAATCTATTTTACATTAAAATGACAAATTGATAGGAACAGATTGACAAATAATAATGAGAAAAGAGATACATTTTAAATATGAAAACAATAATTCAATTTTTTAATCTTGCATATATGTTAAAACTATAGGAGTCTGTTTGAACGTCGTAAATCTCAGGAACTACGGGTTCGAATTGCAAATTTATTTTCGAGTGAATAGGCATTTATCGACTAAGCTTAGAAGCGAAGATACCGTGGGAAAATGTGATCAAAACGACGAGTAGACGGAACGCGACCTATGTCATTGGTAGCTTAAATTTAGAAGGATGTAGAGAACTATTCTACGCGGGCAAAGTCGCGGCTCCAGCCAGTAAATTAACAGTTGTCTTGCGTCTTCACGTTTTTCTTATGCCGATTGTAGAGCAATTTAAGACAACAAAAACGTTACATATAGAATAAAAAGTATACTGAATATAACATTCCTGTTGTTTATACATTACTCTGTATTCTTATCTTCTTCTGTATGAGCTAGTACGTAGTACTTTCTCTTGATTTTCTTACCCCCATACAAGACGTCAATTTGGGTGTTTCAGAACAAACAAAGTAAGTACATGCATGGAACTTTAGCATTGCACACTACTGTGTTTGCTGTGAAACACCCATATTTCTGGTTCTTCTCTTCTTCATGGCAGGTCTAAAGAAGAGCACGCATATATATTTATAGGGTGAATATCGAAAAACAAAATCGTCCACAGCCTCGTTCGTTGTATATAGACGCAAAAAACAGTTAGAAAGCAAAAGCATGGGATCAGTGCAACGATTGTAGGGGATTAAAGTGACTACGAAATGTATTTATCTCCTAACAATTCAATAAAAAATATATCCTTGTAGCCTCTACCTTGCCTATCAATCAAAGTTCACGCATGTTACATTTTCTACGACGTCAGTCTGCAATATATTTATAAAGCACTGAGGCAAACTTAACAATTCAACTTGAAAACCAATATGCTAGTTCTAACGAAATTACGTTAGGTCACCCATCGTTATTGTTTAAATTGTTCACAGTAAATGGCTTTTAGTTCAACGCGTGAGCTTTAATTTTATTATTGAATTTTAGAATTGTCTATTTACGGTACAGGTGACTAAAGTTAAACCTGATATTATTTGGAATACTGAAAATCGTGTCAATATAACGAAACCTCTTTGTTTTGAGGTCAGGAAATGCGATTGGATCTCGAGTTACTTCAATGCATGCCATCTTCATGGAATATTGAAACATGCGTCCACTGTAATGGTTCTTCGTGCTTCGTTATCTGTAATGCTATAAAACAAAAACTCAATGACACGAAATGTAAGAATAGCTTTCTGTTTATCGTAATTTGAGGTAATCAGGTAGGTAAATATTGAATTCAAACGTTCGATCACTTATTGTAGAAAACATTACTACTACTTTTAAATAAAACGCTGTAACGGTTTAAAACGCGATATATATTAATTAACCTTATTTGGAAATTATTTCACTGCTCGCGTACACTTCAAACAGTAGTTATTCACTACTGTTTGATACAGACTTTCGTTGGCTGTTTTTTTATCCCATTAGACCCACGACGGTGCTGACGGAGCTTGAAATACCGAAGTCCCATTTTCCGATCAAAAATTCGAACCCTAGACTATGTAATTTGAAGTGAAAAGTATCTTTTCTTAACGTAATCTTCTTATTGTATCAACATAAACCAATTAGTAATAGGTTATTCGAATTTAAAATTGTGTCTATAGTTTTAAGTGCTGTTGTGTCGAAACTTTTAAAGTAACTTCAACCGTACACATTTTACTGATCCACAGAAACGTTAAAAAAAATTGAATTTACGCTGAAACGTGAACACTAAATTATGAAGATAAACATATCTATGCTAATATTACACGGTACGCACGGGAAAAAGACAATAATCTCTACATTAAAACCACTATACAATATATATAACACGCTATAGCATAAAGTTTATAGCATTTAAAAATATATACCACCTCATAATGTCATTGAAAATAAGAGCCCATGTATGGTTAAAATTAGGTTGCCTACCTACCTACGTGAAACCCTTTTCTACGTGAAAGCTCCGACATTCTTCACAAGAGTAACAGGTAATTCCCCATAATTCTTTATCTAGCACATTTCAAGGTTTTATGATAAAACATTCCTATACTGATCTATGATTTAAGTACCAATTAATAGTTGATATAAGTAAAAAAATATATTGTTAAGTATGAACTAATCTTTACTCTCCATTTAAGGTTTGGGTCACTTTTACAGTGCCTTCTTTTAGTCGCTAAATCAATACCTACTCAAAGTATTCACAATTAATCATATATAACTGAGCAATTATTATGTTCTATCACACTTATCCAATAAGTCACAATGAGAACTGAACACACTTTCTCGTGGAAGAGTTAGCAAGACACTGGTGATAGCTAGTCGACCGTCGCCAATGAAACCGGAGCTGCCATTATAAACATCCAGTGACTGGAATTCAGCCATCCGCCATGATTACAATGGTATTCAAATTCTCATATAACCATGTAGTTGACCTATAAATTGTTTTCAAGACCTGCCCGGAGGTCCCTTGTCCAAATAATTTGACAGTACACACTTCTGATCCGGAACAGTAAAAAACATGGTGTTGCGGCGAAAAAGATGGACAGATTTTGATGAACCCAGTTAGGTTTAAATGGCACAGCCCACGTTTCTATGCAAGTTTAAGGTCTCGGTGGAAATTAATTATGAAGAGTTACAGTTATGCTTTACTATATATAATACTTAAATTTATATAAATTGAGACTGCTAGAAGCAGAGTAGCCTAACTGCAATTTAGGACTTGACTTATTTATATTTATACAATCTACAAGAACTTTGTGTTAAAGAATTGTTAACATAATTTTCACACAAATAATAGTACAAATTCATTTACGCCTAAGGTAATTGCGCTTTTTTATTTTCCTCCTTTTTGAAAATCATGTCTTTGTTGTTAGGCCACTCTACCTCTAGCGGCCCTATATAATAATTAAACTGATATAAATTTTCTCGCTGTAAAAGAATACTAAGTATATCCTGTTTGTCATATTTTAAAATTACTTCGACGCAGTCCATGTTGATGTAACTGTGGCACGCGTTCGTGTTTTCCGATGAAATATCTCCGGAATTAATAAACACACAACGACTTGACGCTTGTTAGCAACTTTCTGTATGTATTTCTTGGTAAGTCCTTTATTGAAATCTAACAGTTCGCGATAGTAAAGGTTAATTAAGCCTACGTGAAAATATTTAATTATGAATAAGAACTGAGTTAGCTGATATTTTTCTTTGAAGACGCGTTCAGGTTTGAAGATCTGAAGTTTGACTTCTAGATCAGGTTTAGAAAAAAGATTCTACGTATAATTTCATTATTTATTGAAACTGTTGAATTAATAATATAGAACCTTTTTCATAGTTTACTCGAAAAAGTACTCTTAAATGAGTAAAGAATTTTTACGTTGTTGTAAGTTATAATTGTTTTTAACATTAAACTATCTTTGAGCCGTAGGGCCAAGTTAAGAATCATTTTTAAATAAGACACTTTAACGGTAATATATCGCGATATATTAGTTAAACCGTTAGATTGGAAATGATTTTTTTAAATTCCCGTAGACCACGGCTTTTGTCAAGCATCCGAAACGCGGGCCGAAGTAAAAATACATTTTCAATGACAAGTTTAATTTGTATATTGTGTTTTAAACCGTTAAAGCTTTTTTTAGATAGTACACGCGTAAACTATAAACTTTACGTATTTTTATTGAATCAAACAGGCTATGGGCCCAGACCGCATTTTAATTTGTTCATGGTCTTTACATTGAGAGATTCAAACCCTCATTCAAAATTCCTCTTTCTGTGCTTACTACATAGTAAGTTTCTCTGATCGTTTTTTTTCATACCATTATACCAGCCGTTAATTATCTCATTAGGAATCTGAACTCCTTCCCTAACCCCCAAAACAAGTTATTTTTCCAGCAGTGGATCCCAGTGCCGGAAAAATAACTCGTGCTTAATGCAATGCGTTTAACTATTGAGTTACGTTCAGTAGACAATGGAATTATGAAAGAAAAACACAACGCTTTTTCTAATTTTAATTTCCACAGATCGTCATTACAACATAATCAAATCATCTTGAGTCTATATTGAGATTCTTGTATACATAAAATACTACTCTATGTAAATAACATTTATAGAACATCCAAAACATCAATAAATACTGTTTAAAATTTCAACACATATTAATCTCTACTATCTATCACTGGGTAACACAACATCTATAGACATTGAATCAGAAGAAGTACAAAAAATAGGAATACAGAGATGTAAATACTTAGGTCTTGTACAAAAACTTGTTAACGAAAGCCATCCTTTCCCTCCTACATTACCCTGTAGTCACAACACTTCATTTGTTCCCACCCTCACATTCAGTAGGAAATACTCATACAATAAAACATTGCAGATAAAAAGAGGATCAAAAATATAAAATCTTCAAAATATACAATAGATTCTTAGAATACATATTGTACTATAGATGAAACGTCTTCATCAGACTTATTTTAGGAATGTGCACAGTTTAAAGCTAGAGGAAGTCTACATTTAACATCCAGATTTCTCAAAACAGGGCCAGCTAACACCGACATAAGATAAAACCTTTAAAACATTGATTCAAGTTACATTCGAGAACGCTTAATTATTGAGCTGACTTGATAAATACTACGGTTTCTTATCCTAGTTCAACATTTAAAAACAAAAAACATTTAATGGCAAGATGAGCCATATCACATAAATTAAATACCACATTGGTTGTTGATAATTTGTCAAATTAGGGATGTTCTTTAAATTTCGTAATTACGGAATTTGGAGATGACGTCAGATGGTGGTTCCTGGCGTCCGCCACCCCAGCGTCCCCAAAGGTTTGCGCCGCCTTCAGAAGCGCGCCTAGCAGCAGCGTTGCTTGGTCCAAGACTGGATGGTCCAGATGAACGCCCTGAGTCATCTTCAAGCATGCGATCCTTGGTGTTGGGTTTGGACCAGTGCATTGATTGTTGGACATGGTCTTTCATGCCCAACCATTGTTTGTATCCCATGGCAATGCCACTATTTCTCCATTTGTCATACAGTGCTCTTTTTGATGGTTCACAGAGGGTTTCCTTTGCCTCCTATAAAAAAATATTTTCATTTTGTTATTATCTAATCTGTCTAGATCTGAAGTAGAGAAAAGGTTCATCATAAGATAACTTATAATAATATTCTTTGTTTGTTTAATTCACCTTTAACTTTTGGAATGTTGCTTCAGCTTCTTTGTCACCATTATTTTTGTCTGGATGGTATTGTAGAGCTCTTACTTTGTACTCTGCAGTTATTTGTTCAACCTGAAAAAAAGGATTTTACAAAATAAATGCCAAGGAACAAATGATAAACTAAATATTGCATATAACTAGTAGTGTATACAGCAGTTAGACTTGAGTTTTTATCACAGCTATGAAGTACCAATGCAATAACTGAATGTAGGTCAAATCAGATCCTTTGAGGTCAATGAGTTTTGTAAATCAATAACTTTTACATGCTAAACAATAAAAATAGACTAACCGTGGAGCTTTCGTCGCAGCCCAGAAGCCCGTAGAAGTCGTCGTCCGGATTTTTCTGGTAATTCAGGATTTCATCAACTCCAGTCATTTTCACGACCCACCCTTACAACACCCTGACGGAAACTGGTTGCCCTAGGCTGAACCTGTAATTGATTGTTGGATATTCTACAGTATGGCTGTGATTGTGAAAGTTACCTTTGTGTTAGCACGCTCAATTTTGATCCTGCAGACAACTTTATACTCTAAAACGAAAGGCAGAAGAAGCTACTAGTTTTATTGCGTTCTAACTTCTCTGCGCATGCTCTAGCCAATATTGATACATACATTCACAAGTCGTACGTAAACTGTACCTACTTACAATGTTCTTTTTTTCTTAGAAATCTTAGATTTTTCCCTCTGCATTTGGCCTTGTCTTTTGATGTGATATGTGAATTCCCGTAAATCTGACAATTGATCAATGACATTTCTGATTTGACTTTGATAGTGACAATTGACTTGGTTAATGTAACATTACTCAATTTAACAGCCATTAGCGACACATTACATTACAGGAAATATTTGTTTATTTAATTCTTAAAGTAGGTAATGATTTTCTTAGAAGCTTGATCTCGAATGAAAACATAAGAAAGCCTTTCAAAATGAATTCCACATTGCTAAGTGAATTCCACAAACTTGGATAATTTATTATATGTAATATAAGTTTTTATTTTATTGTGTTAGGTGGAATTTTTAAATGATAAACGAACAATTGTCACATTTATAATAATATTATAAGAAATGTGTATAGTTAAGTAGGAACATAACTTCCTATCTCTTATTGTTACAATTTTATTTATTACTTCAACTTACCGATATATGTATAGGAAAGTTATTACAAATAATATTATCATGTCGCTCACGTAGCGACATCCACAAAAAATGAACAATAAATCTGAACAATCCCGCAAAAAAGACAATAAAATAAAAAAGATGGGACGTGTACACTCAATATAAACATCAAGGCTGACGACATTGCATATTCCGTGCATGCTCTAGACATTGGCGTTTCGACCAGCACACATCGGTTTTGCATCAAAAATAGCTCTCGAAGACGATCTTAACGTAAGTTTACGCGGCTCATCGGACGTAGCGGCTGTGCGCATTGGTGAAAATTAATGTAACCTTGCCATGAGTTTTCCGAAGCGTTTTCGCGGGCGCGCGTTTTTATTACTCGGAAAAATTCTATGATAGTCCAGCAATTTCGTCTGACAAGACGCAGATCGAGTCTTACCTGTTCCAACATCATCATCATCTCAAACGTTTACCTTAACTGGAAGACATTGTAATACATAAGTCTTCAATAGTGTTAGGTGGAGTTAAGAAAAATACTAATTAACATTAGTCTTCATCATCAAAGCGCCGTTGTTATGACATCCAATCGGGGACATCGCGCGCTGTCAACGAACTAGACGTTCAAGATCCACCATCTTTGGCAGCGGAAGTAGCGGCGGATGTCCCGGCATGGGTGAGTAGAGTGGCATATGAATAACAACAATGCTCGTTGGTTCGTTCCCACATTCTCTATGCGCCCCGTGTCCCGCCAAAAGTTTGTTCAACCTTTTTTTTGTCGAGATGCGTTTAATATGTAGGCAGTACTCCCGATGGTGTTTATTTTAATTACTTGTACGTAGCCTGCGGCTCTGACGGTCCACGTTCAAAAATATAACGTCTATTTTTGAATATAAGAATTTTGAATCATACCTGCGGCTCGTACGCCCTTATGCCTCCAATGCGCTCCTATTGTTTTAAAGATAACAAGTGTTAATCTTATTCAAGTTTTTTTGAACCTTACATCACTTTTATTACTGTTATTGTCTGTAAAACGTAGTTACAATGCAAACGAGAAACACTTAGTCACTGGCTTACTTTCAAGACATGAACTAATTTGTTTCACGAAAGCATATGAAAGGTCTACCGGAGAAGCTCAGAAAGTGACTGCATTTGTATGGTGTAAAGATAATAGCGTGCAAAACGTCTAATTAATTATACTTCGTATAACATTAGCCTAGTAAATCTGTTTGTGACATTGAATGGTACAAAGGTACTGTTAGCTATGCGCACCGTACTTATATGGACCAGCTTTTAACAATGCGTCGATTATAGTTTATTATTCTTTGTTTGCATTGATGATCCAAGTTTATTAGCGGACAGCTACCAATACGTAATGATACAGTTATTAACGTTGCTAACACACAAAGCGAATAATTGCTTTTCGACGAATATCTCAATGGTAAAACGCGTGGCTTCGCAAGTGGGTTCAAAACCCGGGGAAGCTTTCTATCTTAAGTAAGTGAAGCATAGAAATCAAATTAGTTACATGCCTAGATGTCGGACAAACTTGGAAATGTCGTTTACCCTTGTACTTGATTTGACAATTAAAATATTTATGCAATGTATCATTAAAAAGGTAAAGAAAAATTCGTTATTGTTAAAGAAACAGTTTTGTGTGAACTAAATATTAAACATAATATTATAATTACTAAATACACTAAATATTAAACAATTAAGGTGTGTAATTAACATAGTAAGGGTTGACAATTGACAACCCTGAGGATGTTTGCAAGTGCACAATTACTATGTTACTAATACATTTTAGAATGAAGAATTTAGAGCTTGGTTGGTTAGGACAATAGCACGTAACGCTATAGTATTGGTTCGAGTACCGTGTGATCGAATTGTAATCTTAAATAGATTTCACAATGTTAATTCTTTTCGTTCCGATGGTTATCATTTTAAATTACTTGGCTTAGACCGTATATAAATTATCTACAGTTTGATTAAGGATTTTGGTTGATATATCGTTTAATGCGAAATACACTTTCCTCAATCCCAGGTCACGTGAAATTAAATTATTTTCGTCCTTACTGAGAATTTTAAGAAACAACACATGATATAATAATGTCCGAAGCGGTGTTCTTCCCCAATATGTATAACTGAGATGATCTAACGCATGCGTGCTTCTGGTATCTGTCTAATAAACTAGAGTGGTCGTTGAACCGTGTACTATCTTATAAATACACGAACAAACAGTTTCGTGGAGTTAAAGGTACTTTTCCCTTAAGAAGCACTATGGCTTAATGGTTAACCGAGTAGCGTGCTAAACAAGTTTAATTGTATTAATCGAATAGATTACAGAAGATCAACTATTTAAATAAAACACTCTTAACAGTTTAAAACGCGAAGTATATTAGTTAACTTATTTTAACTACAATGGTTTAAAATACTGTCTATAGTTTTCGCGAGTAGTACACATTTAAATAAACCACTTTAACGGTTAAAAACGCGATATATTATTTAAACTCTCCCCGTGACCACGGCTGCTGCAAAGCATTCGAAACGTCGGGCCGAAGTTAAAAATCATTTTCAAATAAGTTTAACTAATATATCGCGTATATACCTTTAAATGTTTTAATTAAATACAATGTTTTAAATATACTACACGTTTTAAAACGTTAAAAGTGTTTTATTTAAGTGTGTACTACTCATAAAAAGCATGAGGTTCTCTTGATAAAGATGAAATACCCTAGCCATATAACATCGCAACAACGAGGTGAGTTGTCGACCTATTTCGGCTTCGGATATTTGGAAACCGAAATCCGATTAAACTTGACGGCTTTTTCATCTGTGGACGCTGGTTCGTGACTCGGACGGAATTTCGATATTACTACCACCCATTTAACATATAGATTTTCAGACGAAGTTCAACATGTTTTAGAAAAATTATTAATTGATTAGAAGCGTGGTGATCGAGCTGGTACGGATAAATATTTGTCATTCACTGCTACCATTTCCAACAAGCCCGTTAACTCCATTAACCAGTCATGTTACTGCAAATGAGATCAATCGTTAAAACAGACACAGAATTGTGTCTGCTCCGTGCCGCATTGAAAGGTGAACAGCATGTCACACGTAGTGTATCTAGTATACTAGAAACGCATTTCAAATTATATTGGTGTGTACCCGGCATTATACACTTGATATTGTTACATCACGCTATTAACTTTTAGTCATGTTCATTTGATTAAAATACATCGCATATTTTAAATGCGAGATGTTCCTAATGAAGACTTCCATAGAATACTGAATGAGGGTCAATAGACAAAGATGGGCATTATGGGATGGACGTCGCGACATGCGCCGTCCAGGGCTTAGATACAATTGGTCACTTCCGTTTGGATCGAATTAATTCAGTGTCCATTCATATATGTATCTACTTGTAGGTCCTTGTGACCCCTTGTGGTATGGTTTCAGCTGCTCTCTTGCATGCAGTATCTATGTCTTATTCCCTGATGGATACTCTTCAAGACGACCACTAGAGCATTGACTTGTAATTAAAACAGTTTTGACGATTTAAAACGCGAAATATATTAGTTATTTTTAATTTGATTTACCACGTTGAGGGTTCTTTAAACGTAGTTTTAAACCGTTAAAGGATTTTTTTAATGTGTAATTCGTGGAATTTTTTGAAAATACTAAATAGATCAGACTATTTTGCCTAGAAATAGTATTTTTTTATATTTTATGGTAGAGAAATATAGACTAGTTTAAAGTTCACTTGAGAGGTGGTAAAAATCTTTAGCCATATACATCTTAACTTCTGTTGACTTTTTTTAGATTTGGACATACGAAAATCCACAGATTAAAACTGAACCAATTAAACCTTACTTGACACTTGTTTCATCTGTTAGCTTTTTTCATCTGAGGGCTCGTCACCATTAGGGACTTACAACATTCCTACTAACTATTTAATATATAGATTTCCAGACGAAATTCCACGTGTTACTGAAAAATCTAGATTGATTAAAAACATGTTTTGCTTATGGTAATCGAATCCATGACCCGTTAAATAGCTATGCATTGCTATCATTAGATTCAAATCTGGGTGACGTGACGTTTAATCGCGTTTCATTTGCAGTCCATGGATTTCATAAAAAAATCTGACCATCTAATTTAACGTATACGATTAGTAACCACGAAGGCCACACTAGGTATTATGATAATTATAAATAAAAATATTCCATTCCAACTTGATAATTAAAATGCATACGTCCTAATTTAATAATCAGGACGTATGCATTTAAATAAAGTCATCTCTTAACATTTATATTATTAACGCGTGTTGATGACTAACGTCGGATTTAATTTCGTTTTGTTCAGATGTTTCGTAGGTGCGTTTGCGCATTGCACAAATAAACACACATGCATTCCGTGAATAACAGGCGGGTCTTGAACTCGTACTATTAAGCTATTTTAACAGTAATTTAGTTCGGTGTTATTTTTCAAGTTTAAAGACAAATTAAGTAGTCCTAGATTTTAGATAGCTTTATGAATTCAATTCTTAAGTATTGTGTGTGTGTAGTTTACGCGTTAAATAAAAATTGTATTTTATTTTGAATTGAAGGATCTTTCTGATATTATAATACATAATTGCACTATATAAATAAATTTACAATCCTAATAATATAATTGTTTGGATTGATATTTAATTATTTGGATAAATAAAAAAAAATATGACATGGGCTAGACTTGAACCGGTATTCGTGCTGTTGCTCTAACCAATTGAGTCTCCGTGTCCTACACGTCATCGTCGATTTTTACAACTTATTGATATATGCACTCTTGCGCACGATATTTTTAGTATTGACAGATAACTAACGCACAGATGACTTTAACAATAATAAAAGCTATTTTCGATTCAAAATACACTTAGACCACAGCGTGATATTTCAAAATAGTAATCCATGATAAAAAAAAATGTATTTACTATTTATTAATAATTATGTTACATCGTAGCGATCATTCTAGTTAACGTAATCCTGCAAATCAATTGACATTCACTTGTCTATCTTTGTGTCCCCTTCGTCAATGCTCAGTGACACAAAAGTGACCTTTGTTTTACAGCAGATGCATGTAAACACAGTCGGATCAACATCTGGCGTACTTTTTTTAAAACGACTTTCAACGTCAGATTTACAGATTACGTCTTTCACATATTATTCGCCTTCGTCTTTCACATAGTTATATTGTAGATAACGTTTGAATTGAAGGCGTCTGTGCCCCGTGTAGTCAAGTTTTATATTTCTATTGTGTCCTACAATAATAAGTCCGTTTTATGCATTATTTACGGAGGTGATTGAGTGTTAACTGTAGTTGATTTGATTTTCAATTTCTTTATTAATATTGATTAACATTATAACAAAAACATTTAAAAGAAAGAAATAATGTAATAGTTAATTCATAGTAAATATATAAAAGTGTGTTCACATCATACAATAAATGAAAATAATTAACAATATTGCCTTAGTATTTACGTTACTTTAGTAATTATAAGAAGGTAAATTACTATATATATATATATATATATATATAATTGGAAACAATTAAATAAATCACTTTTAACCGTTGTAAATGAACTTATTAAAGAGTTTTCGAAATGCACCAAGGGGTCCCAGGACCCTGGGTTTTCCCGGAAAATCGCGCCTGAGATCTTGTGTGCCTTGTAGTAATTTTCAACTGAGCTGCATAGCACTTTTTTCGAAGAATCTAAAAGTACAGTTTGGAATTTCAACAGATATTATGGGCTTTTTGTGTTGAATTGTCGAAATTACTCAACAGGCCTACACGAGCGACGGAATTCGGTTATTAATATTTTGCAGGCAACAGCTGCGAACGATTGCAAACCGTCCTCTCCTGTAGCACTTCTCGTTTTACAAACGACTCCATTTAAAAGTCGTGATTTCAAAATGAACTCAATATGGGCCAACGATTTCGCGCAGGAAACTTTATCCGGCAATTTAAGAAGGAGACTTTTTTAGTATTAATAATAGTATGTACATACTTACTATTTTGAATACTTAATATATTGGTCGCCTATCTCTCATACTCGTACTTGTATATTACATACTTGCATGAATAACATATATAATATTATTGAAGGAAATAACTATACATTTATAAAGAATAAATATAATAACTACATACTTTCAAACACCTAAAAGGTATGTTCATGAATTTAGGATTCTTTGGTCAGTTAGTAAGTTATATAATTTTTAAATAAGAAGGGCAGACAATATAGCTCATGTATTGATGAAACAACATTATCTTAAGACAATCGGCATTCTACGGGTTGAAACCGAAACATATATGTTTATTTTTTAAGATTAACAACAACGACGGTACATCGTAGTGGTTATCAGCTAGAGTTTATAAATATGAGGAGATTCGCAGAAACAAATTTTGATGTCCAAAATAAAGGGGACGAAGACGCGGCCCAGCTGTAGCTTTAAGTAGCTACGATTGGTTAACGATCCCGTCACCGCAATATGAATATTGAACCAGATTTAAGTCATAGTACCATCCCGTTATGAACGAACGTCAACAATGTACGTCGTCTATTTACAAACAGTAGAGCGTGGCGTGTGCTACCAAAACGGACGCCTAAATTAAATCTGGAGCCAGGCTCCCCTGTTATAAACGTATGCCGGGGTACGTTTCCTGTGCGCGTGCTAAGAAAGCTTCCCTACAGAGCTCCGCACGTGTGCGACTGCTGAAGCAACCACCTGCGCAAGCGCAGCTTTAGCATAGCAGCGCAGAGCACGCTACGCGGCCGACGGGATGTGTTGTGCTTAACGGCGGCTTATCGTTACAGCCATGGGACCCCAATTCGATTTTTGTTTGCGAGCTACAAGTGAGTTCTTTTTTATACTCTAAGTGCATTCGGACTTTTTAAAGATATTATTGTTTTACATTAGCTTCAACTAGATAGTGATCAATATATATCTAAATATAGTGCCCATGTACATATGGGCATATTTTACATTGTAGTGTTTACGAATAGATATAAATTATATATTCTAAAGTTTTATATATGCTTAGACTATGTTGCACGGGAATGCTTCTTAGTGCAAAGTGGCTTGTACGGATACATTAAAAATCTATTAGTTTTTTTATAAAATATTATGGAGATATATTGATAAGTACATTTGTCTTTTAAATACATTCTCTGCTGTACTGAATCTTTAACCTTTCGTATGTTGACCCACTCGTCATAATTCCCGTCGGTGCCCGGCCACTACGAATCGCCGCGCAAAATTGTCTTGTGTTCTTATGCATGTGTGTGTAAGCATTTCAAATTTCGCGCCACATAGCGGTTACTTATATAGGAGTACACTTTGTTTGATTTTTGAAAATTGAATAAGCTTACTTTTGGAATGAAAATTAAAAACAAATTTACATTTATATTTTTTACTATTTACAATATTAATATACTATACAATACCTATTTGATTTATTTAAACATAAACATAAAAAAAAATTAAACTTAATACAAAGCAACACAAACTATACGAGACGATTAAATCTATTATAATAATAACAATTCATTATCAATTTATTGACAATCTATTTTAAAAATTATTATATATCTATTATATATTACACTAAATTTTTAATCAATGTTAATATATCAAAATGATTATACAAAATAAAATTATAAAATAAATGATTATACATATAAAACGAAAGTAGAAACAAAAACTGAACTGACTAGCTCCTCATACGTACCCTGTGCCGTGCCTATTAAAAAAAATCGGTGCAGTAGTTTTAGAGATACTATAGATTTTCGACAGTGTGATAATCTATCCAACACTGTCCGATACACAGGAATTTTTGGCACTTCTGACAAATGGTGTTAACTTCTTTCCGAAGTTTTTTAAAAGAGCATCGAACACATCGGTTTCTTTTAAATCTCACTCTTTTGTTCTCTACTCTTCTCTACAGAATAGAGTATATCGGAAAGTGGTTAAAACCATCTATCGTGAAACTGCAGGCGGATTCATGAGTAGGAATCGGGGATTGGGCAAGAGCGTTTAGCCAATTCAACCTAACGCTGGAGGGGCTTATCGCTTTTTGGCATATATAAAAATATTCAAAATGCTCACATTTAAAGCCGTTTGAAACTTTTAAATACCATTTCAACCCCCTTTTTCGCTCCATAAGTACATGAAGCATTTGATTTTTAAATCTACACCACCCATGTACTTATTGTAGTCGTGTACAACCACAGGCTTTAGTATGGGCCGGCCTGCTCTTCTTCCTGGCATCATGTTGGCATTGTGAAAAGTCGACACTGTAGTGACTAATCGAACATCTTTCCAAGATAAGACAGATACGTCACCGCAGTGTCTACTTGTCACTGCTCCTCTTGGAACTTTATTTTCCAGGAGAGTTTTTATTTCCCCTGGTGTACCAATTCTTCGCCTGTTTAAAGTGCCAACAACGTCAGTCTTATTAAATTTTAAAAATCGTGCCAAACGAAGAGAGTTGTAAAAATTATCCATAAAAAGACAGTGACCTTTGTGAAGAAATCCTTTCATGAGCCTAAGCACTACCTTGGCACTAGCGCTCGTAAACGCATTGAGGAGTTCTCTCCAGAGCTCCCTGCTGTGGATATTCTTTGCCCGTATAGACCTCAATTTTAAAAGATAGCCTGTTTAGATCGCAGAGTTCGTAAAATTTGATTCCAAATCGTGTGCTTTTGAACGGATCATTGGATCCAACTTAAACGCCCTTTGTAAAGCAGCAACGATTCATCGATACAAATTTCTCTGCGAGCCGTGTACATGCTATCAAAAATCACGTTACAATGGTCTATGATGGGCTGTATTTTTGCAACTTTCCTCTTAGACCCACAAATACTTACATTATAATTATTGACGAAGGCAGGAAACGATGAGGAGCCAGTATCGTTTTAAATCATAACTTTATGAAAACCACCACCGATAGCCACAATTTCTCCATTCCAGTATTGTCCACTGTCAGTACCACGATTGACATATACATTATAGCCCAAAAAGCCTATAAAGTTCGTCGTGTTCCCATCGTTTATTCGGGAATGAGAATCTACGGATTGGCAGCCTGCGAAATTTGTGCCACGCAATTCATTGTTGACCACAATTAAACTCATATATTATGATCCCAAACATGAGTGAACAGCTTTAGAGGATCTTTTCCTCAATGTTAGGGCCACAATTGCTTGTAAGTGGTCAGGCCGACAGAAATATCTCGTAGTACAAGACCAGTCGACGATTCGGCCGGATCCTCCTCCTATCGACAAAATCTTTGACCCTCCGAGGACCGCACGTATCTCTTCCACCGACATAAATTCGTCCTCACTTTCGCTTCCCGAATCAAGCCTTATTCCTACTAGGGGCCCGAGCATCTAAAATAGTAAGAAGCCCTTAATAAAACATGATTTTAATAATATGACAAATATAAAAAATTTATAAAAAAAATATACCTCAAAATCAAACGCATCAACTTTCTCAAGTGGCATTCCGTTGTTGAGATTGCATTGACCTAGTTTTATACAATAGCTTATTTTCAGGACATGTTGATAAGTATAATTTAATAAGAAAATGAAAACGGGATAACTAAAAAATCCAGCAAATTAGACAAGCGTATCATGCATAAAAAACAAGCAATTACTTATGCAACGATGAATTCATTGGCGGATAGTGGTCGTAACCGCATGACCACACTCACACCAGAAATGTTTGCCTTAGAGGAGGCGAATGTCGTTATGGCTATGGCCATGCGGATATGATGTTATGCGGATTCACAACCGATGGCATGCACCACAACTTTGCGTCGAGGAAGTGTTTTCACGGATTCGCACTCCCCGTGTAAAATAGCAAAAAGTCTCTCCTGTTTAAAAACTTATCAACATCTAGTACCACCACCATAGTAACCTAAAATAAAAGCAAATAGAAAAACATGCATATAATTAAAAAAATATATAATCCTAGGAGGAGAAAAAAATATTAAAGTTATTGTTAGCGAATAGCGAAACTAAGGTATAGTTTCGCATAAGGAGGAAAAAGTTCTTTATAAATCTATATATATGTATGTAGTATATTTATGATATGTCAATAAAGTGTGAAAAATATTAAAGTTTCAATTTCAACTCTCAATAATAACATCAAGCAAAGCAAAGTTTTATAATATAAACATTTTATATAACGACTAGTTAAAACTCAACGTATTCGAAATATAAACATCATACTGTAAACAATTTTGAGGACTCGATTGCTTTTGCGACATCTGGACGTGTAAGAACAATGCTCAAAAATGAGATGTGTGGGGTTTTTGAGATTAGAAAGTTCTAAATATTTTTTAATATTCTTTACAAACAATCTATATCTTTGACAGTTACAACAACCATTTAAAAGTTATAAAATTTCCTCTTTAATGATATATAAAAATATATTTTAAGCACAATGCAAGATAAGTCGATATGAAAATCAAAATGTTACGAAATTGGGGACATTTATTACCTATTGATTAAATTTATTTTTTTATTTTTATTTTTTTATAAGTTCTACATAATATGAACAATAAGTAAAGTAGAAAAAATAGGTGGAAATACTTACAGATATTTGGGATTGCTCTTTTAAGATTTAACAAATTGGGATGTGTCCACTCTCGACGCAAACAATAATGAGTTTAAACACGTTCCTATTGTATAAACAATCGACAATGGGCCCTTAAGACATTATTTAGTACACTTTGGATACAAAAGAAAGTAGACCCAAAAATACAGGAATTAAAACACAATATCCTTTTTAAAAATTAAGTTACGAGCATACACGTCCCAGGCATGTAAGGGTAAACATTTTTCGAGGCGTCTACGTTTGACGTTGTTAAACAAAATTATTATTAAAATCGGCTTTGACGTTTAGAGTTCTCGATGTGAAACACTATGAAAGTAGAGTTTAAAATTTTAGATTTTAGAAATACATAAAAGCGTCTAGTCTAGACTCTAGAGTAATATTAAGAATAGCTATATCATTCATACTCAATATACTATGTAACGTACTTATCCGTAAACCGTAAATCGCGAAACTACGTATCCCCCGTCATATGGACGCTTTTCCGAGAAATTTATTTGACTCATCTCCGATTCTCTAAGATTTTTGCTCTAATAACGTTAACAAACATATAATTCTGTCTGTGTTATATTAGTCATCAATATTTACCACTCCTTTTTGAAAACGTGCTATGTAACTGTGTGTATGTATACACACTCATATATTTAAAAATGCTTTAGGCATAATTTTTATTGTGTTTTTGATTATATACTTCCTACGCATCTATAGTTGTTCGTGTCGTCGTTGCCCTCTGTTACAACTTTCTATTTTAACTTTGGTTGATTTATTTTTTATGCAAGATTAGTTTCGTATGTTAAAATAACTTTAAGTTCAAATTTTATTATTTCATTCCCACGGTACTACAAAGTATAACATTAAGATTGGACACGATGTATTGTAGACTCATTTGTGGGTCTTGTATTGTTGAAAATGATGAGCAGCATGTGTCAGGGTGTATTCTTTTAACGCCCCTTCGGGATAAGTAGGGTAATACTGTCCACATGCGGGCCTACAAAAAACACTACAGCTTTGAGATACCATCGTGTTTAACAGTTTCCTAAAAATTTCATCACACGATAAAAGTATTCAAATAAAACACTAAATGGCTTAATTAAGTAACTAATCATACCATATAGTTAAACATACCTATTTTTATTTTAAAAGTAATATATTTAGCGTTTTATTTCTACTGATTGTTTAGTTTAAATAGTACACATAAATTTCGGACCAATTGCCTTATTACATTTAAATTTAAAGCAAAATAAAATAATAATGTATGTTTTCGAAATAAAAATAAGACAGTAATACAAATATAAAGGCACTGAACATAAAACACTTTAACGGTTAAACGCGAAATATTTTAGTTGAACTTATTTACAAATTATTAAAACAACGACGTTTCGAATACATGCAGTAGCCGAAAAATAAGTTTAACTTTTACAATAAAATACTTTAACGGTTTCAAACGCGATACCCCGTCTTACCTTACCATGGCTGCTGCAAGGCGTCCGAAACGTCGGGCCGAAGTTAAAAATCATTTTCAAATAAGCTTAACTAATATATCGCGTTTTAAACCGTTAAAGTGTTTTATTTAAATGTGTACTGCTCGCGTATACTGATTAGACATTGATCATTTAAACTTTGCCAAATAAATTAAGCCCTACACAATTAAATTCCGTTGAACTCACTAATTACTTAGTAATTCGATGTAGTTAAACCGACAATATCCTTATTAATAAAAATGGGTCACATATATCTTATCTAACGAAATCGGCAGTTGAGAACAGTGGTTTAACTATCACGCTGCTGGGATGAAGATTGCTTTCAATTCGTATTTTCCGGCGTAGGTACAAAAGTAGGTTGTTCAGAGCCCGTACGGTGCGTAATGGAGAACTGTTACTCGTTGTCGTTATTGAATAATTCCCTCAAGACGCAGTCTGACTCGAACAACGGCCAACCAGGACGTTATGACTGTCGGTGAGATTCGTAGCTTATTTAAATAAAGCAATTTTAACGGTTTGAAGCTTGAAGCTAAAATTAATGGGGTGGCTAACCTATTTAAGCAAAGTCCATGTAAAACCGTAGGATAAAGATTACGAAATAAAACACTTTCAAATGTTTAGAACGCGAAAATATTTCGCGTTTCAAACCGTTAAAAGTGTTTTATTTAAATATGTACTAATCATAAACATACATATACTTAGTTTCTAACGTCTTTCACCTTACAATAACTAAACGTGTTATCAAAAAAATACGGAAAGCATTTTTAGGTTATTTTAAGATTGGTTCTCTAAAAAATATTATTTCTTACGCATTGCGGCTCCTCGTCTTAAACACAATTTGTGTAGTTAAATTTACCGACTTATTTACAAGGTAGATTTTTAAATAAAAACAAATGTCTGTATTTTTCAGAAATCACATTTTATCAATGAACTTGGTGTTCTTATTTATTATAGCTATCCTGGGTAATAAATCAACAATTATCGCTTCTAGATAACCCATCCTACTTCGCCTTCCCGGACAAAGATGTCACAGACAACGCCAGTGCACCAATCAGTGGGCCGGAACAGTTCTCCCGGTCTGCTCCAGCCAGATCCTGGGTAGATGGGGGTAGACCATTACAGTCTCCGCGGAGGCGGGAACCCGAGAGCCCTAGACGGAAGGAGTTCAGGGCTCTACTGCGGTCGTTGTCTGCTAAGGAACCGGAAAAGGCTGAAGCATTCCTCAAGGGCCAACCGAGGCCTGGAGATTGTGCCCCTGGTGATATGAGGCACACATTTACGGCTCCAAGAATAAAGTAAGTTATTTTTTGTATACACAAAGTATTCGATAGGCTCGTTGGCCTAATGGTAGCAATGGCTAATAATCAACGAGTCACGGATTTGATCACCACCGCGACCAACACATTTCTTAGTTCTATTTCTATATTTTTCTCAAACATGTTGGACTGTGATCTGGAAATCTGGATATTAAATGATTGGAAGAAATATCTAAATTCCATTTTAAGCACAAACTGTAAACCGCACCGGTTTCAGTCTGTGGATTTCCAAATATCCAAAGCCAAAATATGTTTTTAGTAGCTGTGGTCATAGTGTTCACAGTGTTTATTTAATAACAAAAGCTTTACAATCAATTAGAAGTACGGTAGTTGTAGTACCTAATTCCCCCTAATAAGCCTAGAATAAAAGATAATTAAAAGATTTAAAGATTAAGTCTAAGATTTAAGCAATATTTAATAACCCACAGGAAAGGCAAAATAAGCACAACCGTAGTGACATCTGAAGGTACGAAGGAACATGAAGAGGTCTTCTACACGGTCCCACTGCAAGGTCGTCGTCGGCACTCCGTGGGAGGTTATCTGGCCACTGGCGCTAGTGGTGCTGGAGAAGTCACAGCTGTACCAAGCGAAGTACCGAAGATGCCACCACCAAGATTCAACCAGCAGGACGATGAAGTGAGACGGAGGCGGCCTAGAAATTTCTCATTTAAAGGTAAGGTTCTTGATAATACATAATAGCTAATTTTATTTAACGTCGTACCGCCCTAATATTTTGTATGTGCTTTAATTATTCACGTTTATGCAAAACTAATACTTAAAAATGTATAGGTAGGTTAGTAATTAGTAGATGAAAAAAATACAAATAGATTTAAAAGGAAAAATGTATTAGTTAAACTTATTTACAATTAATAACTACGTCGCGACAGTTTGCGTTTTTATGCGTTGAAAGTGTTTGTATGCGTACTACACACCTTACAGATTTTACTTAGATATGCTGTAATAGACATATTTTAAAATATTTATAGATGAATTTAAGAAAAGTGACGTAAATATTGTTCTTAAATATATATCAGTAGTGAAATTAATTTCTGTCCGTGCCTCTGAAAGGTTTTATTTACAGGCAAGTATTTTATCAGACTCCTGTGCTCTGCCTCACCAATACAATTTACTATTTCCTCAGAAGTAGAACTCAGGTAGGACATCTCGCGTTTTACGCAATGCTAGGCAACACGTTTTACCATGTAGCCCAACAGAGGCGGTTCTAAAATTTGGTTACAGTTAAATCAACTCGGCACGTCAATCTGGATATAAATCACAATATTTAGGCGTCACGTTTATTGCGCTTCAAGGAAGCTGACATAATTAAATTCTATTATGAGATAATAATTTATATGTACACGGAGACTTGATAAACGGCCATAAACAATACGAAGACGTAGGGCGCATAAATATTATCTTAGTGCGTTGCACTCGAGCCCTTCGACCTATCATGATATCGGTGATAAAAGTCCAAAATATTAGAAAGCGATCGGCGCCTCTACTCTTTCGCAATAGATACTTTATCGATGCCGACAATAACGTAATCGATATAATTATTGCATTTACAAAATGAGCTTAGAATTAAATACGTTTCTTGGTTTGAAAGTTCACAAAGATTCCACTGTGAAAATAGTAGATTACTGCAGGGGCTTGTGTAGTACTCTTCTCAAATAACACGCGGAAATAAATGCTAAGTAGTACAATTGAGAACTTTAAAACCAATGACGAAGTTGACGAACAACTAATAACAATAGTTTTTTACGCGCCAATTTCTTTTTAATAAACAGCTTTTTTGTATATGCTAGCCAGTTCGAAAATTAGATAAACCTTTGATAAGTTACCTCTTTGGTAGCCATCTTGCGGAGTAGAAGATCGTTCCATTTTTAAATTACACGACAAAATGACAGATATGGATATTCATACCACTATTGCCGGCCGCTCCATCAGTACAGCAAGTTTGATTTACTTCGAGATAGGATGTTAAAATAATACATTAATCAAATTTCCAAGAAGAAATATAAGAAGAATATCTTAGTTTCGTTTCCATACAAAACATTATGTAATCGATTAGATTTCACAAAAAAAAATTGTTGCACTCTAGAGTGTTTATACAAGTTATGTTTTTAATATTATACAACCTTATCGTCCGCTATCAAATACCAATATTACATTCAAATGTCACACATCTTAAGCAGAATGTATTGAACTTAAATCCTTATCATTTTTTACGATGAAGCTTATCTAAACGAGACGGACACAATTGTAACGTGTCTAGTGTCTATTTGGTAATCGATAACGATTCAGGAATATTTACATTGCCCATGCTGTTTGACAAAGATTAGAGGACAGAGATGGTGTTGCGATATTGCGGCGGCGAGCTTGAGTTTTAGTGCTTTTAGTATGCGAAAGGCGTGCGCGGGAGTTGGCTGACGCCAGAACAGTCCTGCGCTACGAGCCGACGCTTTGAACTGTGTTCTCAGGCTTCGTACGCATTTAGTGCTTAGCTGCATTTCAGTGCAATGTATCTTGACTTTGTGTGTCTGTTCTACCGGCGCAAGAGATGACGATGGATCTTAATTCGAGTGAGTGATTTTGGGCTAACTGAACAATATTTTTCCTTCGTTCTATTGATCGTTTATTTTTTTGTGACTCACAAGAGTAGCCAATGTGACGTCATATTAAATTCGTCTAAGAAAATAGATAAAAACAAAATTTGAGCCTTATTTCCTTTTTTATTTTTCTGTTTAAATGAGGTATAGATGTTTATAATAAACTGTTAATTACTATATTTGTGTGTAGTAGACACTTAGATAACTATTTTATGACTCCAAAGCGTCAAAACACCAAATAGACAAATATAGAATTAGAAAAAAAAAACAAACACAATTAAACCGAGTTCTTGAAATCCAAAGACCGCCTAATTCAATGTCAAAGAGTAGTTCGACCTTTTTTTACACTCTTATCCCGTGAAGAGACAATAGACTTAATTACATTTGGTGTAAGGCCTAAAATCGGATGGATTTTAAAAGTTTTAAGAGGTTCACTGATGTGGTCACATTAGTTATGCAGGGTGGCAAGACTAGCAGAATAAACATGGTGTACTTTACATGCATGGGAGCATCTAACGTAATGTACTCGTTGTGGGAATGTAAATGCACTGACGCCTATTTTGTACTCTTAAGTCCGACTCCCTTAGCCACACATAAATTATCTCCTTTCTGGCTCCATCGGAAGCACGTTCCAGAGAAATCTGGAATTATTTATAAGAACGCAATAACAATAGGAATTGATAGAGTACGTCGACTTTGCTTCGAAGTGTAACTTGCCGTGGTATAAGCAAATGACAAAAATATATATACGACGTAACAGATAGCGCAGCAGTTTTTACATTGACATTAGAGACACCCTCTTTAGTCTTCCCGTGACGAAGCATGGTAGAACTCATTACTTTGGGGGACAGCAATAGAAGTCCGACTGATCAGTCCATGTGCTAACCACTTCACCCAGATTGTAAAACCTATAAGAGACTCTGGTTCCAGCAGTAAATTGATGATAGTTAGTGGTTGACAATGCTTCGACTCTGTGTAAAAGGGTCTCTTAACTGATTTAACTGTTTACTCGTGCTAAATAGCGTCCTAATTAATATGAAGCAGACGTCGCCACACGCATATAGCGCCACATTATCGCATATTTCCTTTTATGACACTACTTAAAAGCTCTCGTTGTTTCATTCAATACAATTAGAATAATCTTTATTGCTATCTGTGGATCGATTTCGATTTGCAATTATTTATTTAAGGACTGTCTGTAGTTTACGCGAGTGGAACACATTTAAATAAAACACTTTACGCTTTATTAAACGCGAAATGTACTTATTACAATTCATTTAATCTAGGCTCGACTCACTGGGTGGCTGTAGATGGCATCTCTAATGTCAAAATCAACAATGAAGCGATCAGTCACAGATTTGACTTTAACATTTGGGGTACAATACATCTTTAGTCCTTCGTGACCACGGCTGCAGCATAGCATCCGAAATATCTATCCTTACTTAGTTACAAACTTTTTCAAATAAGTTAACTAATACATTTTGCGTTTTAAAGCTTTTACAGTGTTTTGTTTACAGTACAAAACATCATTATATATCATTTAGCACGCACTATTAAAATCTAGTGACTTATCCTCTTTTAATATTTTGAAGGTTCTTTTCTAAGTATGTAGGTATATAAAAATACCAACATACTTAGAAGTGTAATAAATACAAATTTTAGGTATAAAAGCGATTTATATTTAAGTTAATTACTGTGTACCACTTCTTCAGCAGGGCTTCATAATAAAAATAAACTTTTCAGACGTCCAAAGCCAAAGTAGGTCGACGGTTCACCTTAATTGGATGTGATAAAGCTGATGTTTTCCATTTACTATCAAACCCATGTTTTTTTGTCCATCTATGTCATAAAAAATACTAGTTTCTTTGATTTATAGTTTCTGAGTTCCTACTGCCTGTAGTTCACGCAAATGGGTAGTTATGAAGACATTTAAATAAAACCACGTCAAAAATCAGTTCATTAAAAATAAAATATGTTTTATATACAAATCATAATATACAAAAACTGTTAAAAGTACCTTATTGAATTAAATTCTTACTTATGTCAATTAATACATTTAGTTTATGAAATATTTAAGATAAACTGAACATAATGTCAGTTTTTAATGTTTACGATTATTCAGAAGTGGAGTATTTTTTACCCTAGGGGATGCAAGCATTTTTTAAAATCATATCATCAATCACCAATGTGCTGTGCTGAAAAATACAGACAGAAAACGCAGAAAAAGTGGTTCGCGTATTTTAATATCGTGAATCATAAGCCAACTCATGCTTCTCACTAAGAGTAATCATAACGAACTCTTTGTTTTTATAACTGCCTGGTACCACATTTGTATGTTGTTTAAATTGGGTTGTCTACCGGATATAGGCCGATATTGTATACAGGAAATGTCTCGGCAATACTCCCTTCCTTACAACGACTAATGGAGGTCAGAAAGTTCAATCCTAACTTGAAAACTTGGCCACAGCACGAAAAGCTGAGGGTGCCTGTTCCAGGCCCGCCCTTGTAGTATTTTAGTTTACCTTTAATAACCCTACCTCGTAAAAAGTAGAAAACGCGAATTACATTATATATCTTTTAATTAGAATAAATAATATAATGGTTATATGGTTGTCTATATGTCTGTCCTCCTCTGACATAACTCTTCCCAAAACGCCCTTTTTTAAGTACGCATAACCTACATTGTAAGGGCCAATTTTTCATCTCAACTAGCGGATATAAATTACTTCAAGTAAACATATCGCTCTACTTCTGTTGAGGAAGTTCGCGTAAACAAAAGATGACCTATTTCCAACCAGCATCCAACACCAGATCAAAACGCCACCTAACAAAATGGAAGCGGTTGTAGGAAACTGCAATATTTCATTCGACACTTCAAAGAGATAGGTCGTTGAACTGAAAACCGAACAGTGAAGCCCTCCGCCCTAAATACGTTTTAACTTGTCTTACAATTAGTTCGAAGGTACTTCCAAGAGTTTGATGCAATTAATGTTTATACGAATGCATTAGGCGCGAATGGTTTTAAAGCAAACCTATTTTTATTAAACTATTTTCGTATTATGTAATACAACACAACGAATCAATAAGTTCAGATGAAAAATAAATCATTAAAATATTATACTCGTACTACTATGTATGAAGACGTACCAATCTATTTTTTAGTTCCAATAAGTTTAAGTTAAAACTACCCACCAGATTTATCTGTATATTTTTAACGTAAATAAAGAAAATTTTAGTATTTTACAATATTGTTTTTTGAAAGCTATTAACATATATTTTGATTTCATTTACAAGATACATCAACAACTAAGAACAAACAATATCTTTTAATACTATAATAATAACTTAAAATAATATCTATGCATCAAACGATATTTGTTTAATTCTTAAATATTTTTGTACAACATTATACTCCGCATGGCAACAACTAGTTATAATTCCTTAACTATTTAGTCTAATGATAAAATACCTATTTTATACCTATATTATATATTTATCTCATAAAGTTAAATACAAATTCTGGTAGTTGGTTAATTAAATATAAAAACAAAGATGGTTAATTAAATATATGGTGTTATTTAGGGAAGTAGGCTGCACCCCAAACAATATCCATCGCACATAAACGACTATAGTTATTCCGGGCGTTACTGATAGACGTTTGTCTATTTAGGAAACGGATATTACATTTAGTCGGGTCTTCATTTGGCGGCAGAGGTGGATAGGTATAAATCCGTACGAGTTTCCGGCGCGCGAGGTGCATAGCATATTTTGTAAGCATGTTTTGCGTATGCGCAGCGCACCCCATAAAGTCTTAAACAGTCGACGTGTGTTTTCTTTAACACTCGGAAATGTGTTTTTAGGACGCGTTCACTTTTTTATTGCTACTTACCTACATATGGTAAATAATGGGGGTTAAACTTGTAACGCTTACGAGCCTATATTAAATAATTTTTAAACTTCAAAAATTGAGAACAACAAAGAATATTGCTCTAGTAATTGATCTACCATATCATACCTAGATTTATCTTGTCTCAAGTCAAGTTTCAAGTCTCGCCAGTGTCAACGACTAAAAATGTAAAGATCTTTGTATCGTACCGATGAATATAATAAGAATTCCTTGTTGATACTTACAAAAGTTCAACTTATTAACCATGAACAACTCTAATTGATTTCAAGTGCCATTAAAGATCAGTGTAATGGCAAGACAAGGGCCTGAGTGGAAAAAGGATTCAGATTGCAGACATACCACAGATACACACAGTTTGTATTAGTAAATACATCTATATATCTCTATATATAAGCAATTGTGTGTATGCTTGTAAATTATACTGATGTAATATTTTAATTACATTTTTGGTTTCGTACAACACACATTATATGTTCTAACGTCGTTCTTGTAACGAATATTTATTATGTAAAAAATATAATATAAAGGTTGCCTGGAAGGTATAGCCATAGTGGATCTAATGTTGATTATATTTCAAGTGCTCTAAAATAAAGGTTATTCAAGTAAATCTCACTTTCAAATAAAACTTTTTAACGCATTATAAGGCCAAAACACTTAAATTATTTCCGTTAACTAATATATTTCACGTTTTAAACCATTAAATTTGTTAATGACAATGATTAATCTTTGTAGAAGCCAATCGTTTCATAGTTCCTTCTTCAATAAGGCAAAATTTCAAGAACTCGTCCTAATCGGAATTTCCCTCCTAATAAATAACACATGTTCGGAGTACGGGAAACGTAATTTTACGATTAGACCGTAGCTTTATTGCCAGATCCGTGAACTTCGGTCCAGCCAATGACCTACGAGATATCAAGTGAACGACATCGTTTGTGCTTTGATTATCCCTTGACACCACTTCCTTTCAGTTTTCGACTTGATTGAGATTAGCAACATGACACCGTATCAATCATGCTTGGCTTTGAAGCTTGTGAGACTATATTCATATTAATATAAGTATGTATATTTACTAGCATATCCGGCGAACGTTGTTTTGTTGTTTGCAAGATTCATATCATGTTGATACAACTAAAACAAATTTTGATTACCAGTGATAAAAACGGTTCTTGCCAGTTAATATTATAAATTAGACGTTTACTGTTGCATACATTTAAAGATCATTGAAATGGAAATCATTCTTTCATACATATTTTTTTTAATTCTTGAACCATTTTTGCAACGTACGCAACGGAAGCCCTCGGACTTGATTTTTCCGCGTTTCTGCAAATTTCCCCTTGTTTCTTCGCTTCTACTTGTCGCAGCCTGAAGTTTTATAGCCTAAAACTATCTTCGATATGGCCCAACCGACACAAAAATATTTTGTAATACAAAACAGTACTTGTTCCTGAGATTAGTGCATCCAACGAAGCTCGTAAACAAACAAACTCTTCAGCTTCATAGTAACAGTATTAATTATTATAGATATATCCAATGATTTTGTGTCTATGTTTGAATTGCGTAAAGCACGAGATTTTATTTCTGGGAAAACTTAATTTCGTTGGTTTCGACCGGACGAACACAGAAGTCATATAACTAGCCTGTGAATAAGGTCAATCAGTTAAACGAATCCAGATATGTGTTCGTCTTAGCTACAAAGAGAAATTGATTATAGATATTTCATTGTTGGAACGTCTTTCATTGGTGGAAAGAAAGAAAACATTATTTACTTGCCATCATAAAAAATTGTTACATAATTGATTAAAGAAATATTTTTATTTATTAATTGTATACAATCGATACTTCTATTGTTTTTTTATTAAACTCATGCTTATTAATTTAATCCCTACTCAAATACAAACACTGTCAAAAATTTAATTATATTTAACAAAAAAATACTAGGAAAAACGTAAATCCATATTTATATGAAAACATATATAACACATTAGGTTTGAGGAAAAAGGTGTACACATTAAGTGCGTAACTTGTAACGATAACTTGACGATAAAATGAGTGGCGGCGAGTTTCTTGCCAGTTCTTCTCGTACGTTCAACGTTGTTTGGGAACTGGTAGTAAATTTAACTTTAGACATTTTTAAATGTTTTGAACTTAATACCTATATGAATAAGTTATTTTTGATTTGATTTGAAGCTTTATGGAAATTTGACATCATTTGAGTCTAAATAAAACAACGAAGTATCAGAAGCGTCTGGCCGTGTTCAAATTATTTTTCCCATTGGTGTAATTAATATATTTTGCCGTTTAAATCGTTGAAATTTTTTATATACATTAATATTTTAAATGAAACATGAATGATGATTATTTGCAGGCAAATCGTTTTCTTCAGTTCTCTGGTCTTATTATAAACAATAAAATAAAAGACATTTTTTTCTTGTTCCAGAAATGGAAGATATAGCAATCCTCTGGAGTTCTGGATCGCCGGAAAGCAAGCTTTGGTCTGATTATCTTGTTGCCAGTTTCGACAAAATCATGTCGCAAAGAGCGAGACATCATTACCGGTACATAGCTATATACTATCTAGCTAGCTTAATAATATTATTACCTTCTAACTGTAACTAACATATATATGAGGCCGCTAGAGGCAGAGTAGCCTAACTGCAATTTTAGGACTATGAGCTACTTTTTGTATTTTCACAGTCTATAAATGTTAATCTACAAGAGTATAGTGACCGACAATTGTTAACATTATTACACAAATTCATTTTGGCCTAAGTTAATTGGGCTTTTTGTAATGAAAAAGGTGACACGCTCTGAACTCAAAAGGGCGTGCCTTTGGACACTAACTACTGTATCGCAGGTTAGAATCCCGCCAGTGTAATTTTTTAAATATTGTCCCATTACAAATACGAACAATGTTGCCTTTATACAGTATACTAAACACACATGTACAGTGTACTATTTTATATTGGTTCCTTCTAAAAGGTTATCATTCCAGGGTGACGCCAATAACAACAGAAGAACTCATGTCTTCTGAGTCGCAGGAAAAGCTGGACAAACTGACGAAATCGCAACTGCAGATCGTTATTCTGTGTCCAATCCTCGCCACTAAACTGTACGATTTAAAACGGGACCTCCGCTGCGACGATGTATTCAAATCTGATAAAATACTTGTAATGCTTCTGGGCGTCGAGAGAAACAGTGTTATTGCTCAAAATTGTGATGGTAAGTACAAATATAGTTTCAGGTTTTGTTATAAAGCACATTTAACGGTTTGAAACGCGAACTATATTGTATTTCTTATGTTAGATTAGGGAATACAAGCTTAGAATATACTTGATGGTAGGTAAATATATCAAAGCGAGATGCGCTATCAACTTATTTTAGTTTTGGATTTCAGGTAATCCACAGACTGAAACCCAAATGCAAACATACGTAAACTTCACGGCTTTTTCATCTGCGAATGGTGGTTCGTGATCCGGGAGGAATTTCGATATTCCTACCAGCCATCTAAAATTCCAGACGAAATCGAACGTGTATCAAATAAAATATACAGAAAATTGTTGGACCCGTTGGGGATCGTACCCACGGCCTGTTGATACCATTATACCAACGACCTCATCAAAATTTTTAATTACAGCCCAACTTATTATTTTTTTTAGATTATCCATCAATAGACCAATGGCAGATGATGACAGTGCTTGAAAAGGACACAACTTTTGTGGACACATTCCTAACAGCAGCTGTAGGTATACTGCGGACCAAGGACTGTAAAGACTCAGCCACTGATAGAACTAGCTTCTCTATTGTGCCGAAGAAAGTTAAAATTGTAAGTACTAAATAAAAAAGAGTTTTATTTAAAAATATAAATTATTATTTTTAAAAATCGATTACAAATTGAAAAAAATTTACGACTCGGACATGACTTTAATCGGCATGGTTCGCAGGCAGTGATGTTTCTCTAACCAATTACTACAGATTCCTACATGACATCATCGAATTCGAACCCGGCACTACTTTCAATTAGCGCAGTGCGTTGAGTCATGGTTGATGAATGACGAATGTATGATGATATCAACAATTCTCACAAACAAAGAATTTCCCTAAATTTTATCATTGTGTACACAGGGTCAAAGTCGAGTGATAGCACTTTTGAACGATCCCATTAGAGACGAAGACAGCATTAAGATAATGGTGGACAAGAAAGGCGAAATTATACAGATACCTACCTTCAAGAAACGAAACCCGTATACCATACAATTTGATATACCAGGTATTATAATTATTCCGTTACTCCGTGGGCCATGGGGCGTAAACTTGTTTGTCTCCGATTCAGTGATCGAATGTATTACAGACAAATAGTTGATCAGATCTGTGCCCTGCCCAACATTTAATTGTTTCTCCAGAATTCGAACCCAAGACATCTTGAATGCAATGCAACACGTTTAAACAGATACAGAGTTAGTCTAGCTTTGTTTATGAAAAAACTCACGTAAAAGCGATGTACGATTTAAAAGCTTAAATTGATTTAGAAATAGCCTGTAAACTTTGTATGTTTACAGACTATTTTTAATAAAATTGGCGATAGCGAAATAAAGAAGCAGAAAATTTTGTAGATGATATATAATACCCTATTATCAATTAATGGTCTAAACTTAATTTTGTATTTGTCCTTTTAAACAGAATCGTGTCTAGAAGTGTCAATGCTGGTGTGGGTTAGAGTGAGTAAGAACGGCCAATCCCTTGGTAGACGACAGATCAAGTGCGAGAGTAGACTTAGGGAGTTGGACCAATTGCTCCGGGCGTCTGATCATCCTCTAGAGTTCATGTGCCAGGTAAATGTTCGTCTTACTTGATGGAGGTATTTGTATTATTATTTAAATACCTAATTGCAAGACTTAATGTATCATATCTTACAGACCTTAGGCTTCAAGACATCTAGCAAGGAACAGCTAGACAGCTGGATGCTTAATGCATTTCAGAAGAATATTCCGCCTCACTTCAATCTTCTGTCTTCTACTGAACAGTTTAATCCAAAAGCTGATGTTTCAAGTAAGTAAATGACTTTATAATATGTTATATTTATTATATGTGCTTGTGATTACCCCCCATATAAGTAGTCCGCTTAAGTCACTGACAATTTAATATCAAATGGTTGTATGAGCGCTGTCTAACAGACTAACGATAGGGTTTTGCTGAAAATCAGTGTTTTAGCATATCTGCTGCAACTTATGCTGACGCAAGACCCTTTTGGCATCACTTTTCTTTAAATTAAATTTAGTCTTCTTATGTCATTCATTCATTATATTATTGTAACTACATTTATTCTTTTATAGCATTGTACTAAATGGATGCCTTATAAATAGATTTATTATTATTTTAAATCTTATAAATACACTTCTTAAATATTAGGTGGTGAAGAATACCCCACTCTCTTGCATTGGGCTGCCAGATTCGGTCTTGAACGAGTTTGCTGGCAACTTCTCGAATGTCCTGGTGGTGGTGCAGCAGTGGCTCTGCGTAATGCGAGACAGCGCACCCCAGCCGACCTCGCTCGTGACCACAAACATTATAAATTAGCGGATATGTTAGCGGACCACCTAGTAAGTGTTCTGAACAATAGAAACAAAATATTTATCGTTACGTAAAACCTTTAATAATCACATTTCATTTTTTAAGGTAGCATGCTATCCCATATAGGAATTCCTTCCCTTTATAAAAACAAGTTGTGCAATTAATTGTGCCCTTCAATCAATAGCATTTAATAAGGCTTTGATATTCGTAAATTTTAACATTGTTTTCGTTTCCTTATAGAAAATAAACGAATTCTCAAACATGTACTACTACCTTAAAAATATGTCGGATCCCGACAAGGAAAATCACGAAGAGGTGAAACACGATGAACTGCACATAGTTGAGTCGACCGATATAGTCGATTCACCAACCCGTGAGCACGCATCAGAAAACAGTCCATCAGACCCATTCAGCGAGACGTGTACGCAGAATTTAGAAGACAATTTCGAGAAACTAGAAATCGAAGTTGCGAGAAAACCCCGTCCAAGCCTAAAGATACCGAAAGTCAGCGAGCAATTGTATCAAAACGATTTCCACATCCGAGATGACGCCGCAGATAGAATCCAACAAGCGATCGAACACGATTATTTAGTACAACCCTCTAATATCAAAGTAGAGAGCCCTAAATTTCGACCGAACAATCTATACGCAAACAGTTCAAGGCTCATCCCACAACTATCGGATGTCTGCCTTTATTCTCCCACCGAAGAGTCGAAGTCCTTCTTGATAGAAACGCCAACGTCTGATATAAGTCAGATCAATTTGAGCAAAGACAACCGGAATAGCGGTAATTCAGTGAAATCTGGTAAAGATGCGACAGGTCAGGAGGAACTCGCTGAAATAATAAACGATTTTAAGAACAATGTATTTACTATATCCGAGGTGGAGAAACTAGTGATGGAGTGGAAGAATAGAAATGAGACACAGCAATCGCTAAAGGAGAAACAAGAGCAATTGAACAAAATGCGTGAGGAATACGATAAAATACAACATAAGATCAAAGAGAAGCTTAAGCGACCGACGCCATTTGAACGAGTGAAGAAAATGTTCTCGAAGAGCAAGAGCAAACGTAAGTAATACCTTTAATTAAATACTAAATATTAGAGTAAAGTAGATATATTTTTATTACCGATACATGTTATTGCCTTGCAGATACAGAAAACAGTAGTAATACAGGAACTATCGAGAAGAGAAATGGAAGTACAAGACCCAACAGCAGTCTTAGTGAAAGTGAGTTAAGAAATCCAAATACTTTTTTCTTGTAGTACAAAAATTTATTTAGGCCTCGTATGATGCTTCTCGCATTGCATATAATGCTTCACCTTCAATATCTTTCCATTTGTAGGTTCCTCTTCATCAGGCCGTTTGAGTACAGTCAGCGGTAGCAGTGTGGGTGAAACAAATAGTGTACAATCCGAATTACACGATGATAAGGCTCGGTCTATTGTAAGTTGTGATAATATACATACATACGTTTGGTAGCTTTAGCATAGCAATTTTGTATGTAATAGATCTTATAACTTGGAGTAAGAAATTTGAATTCTTCTTATAATAATGTTAATTGTTAGTCGTTTGTAAAAATTGTCTTGGAAAAAAGTAGTTTTTTATCGTTCCCTTACAACTCTTCTCTATTATCTTATTACTTGAGTGTAAAGCTATACCCGTATCTCATTTTCCTTTTTAGATTTCGTCAAGTACGTTAACCATGAACTCTTTTGACGGCGATCACCGCTTGGACGATTACTTAATCCCGCCCCCGCCTAGGCCCGTCAACGGATGTGCTCAATTCACAACATTTGGACATCCCAAACAAGATAGGTAAAGCACATTCACTTAATTGTCATCAACTCGACAGGAATTCACTCGTTTAACTCGATTGAACAATTTTTATTAGGGGCTGCCAGTTATATCGTGTTGAGAGTTTAAACATACCCAAATAAAACGGATTTAGAACTGCAAAAATCCGTTGAATATAACGTTGAAATAGCTTAATCGTATCATTTGGTAAAATAGTTACATAATTTAAAAATTTTATTTTCTTTTCAAAACCTGAGATCTAAAATATGTCCTGTTTAAACTTTATCGATAATGAAGTAACATCTCCAAGAAGAAGTAACTTTGTTGTGTCATAATCTGATTGAATATTGAAAAAGTTATAAAGTTAAAAATGACTACTGACACTTTATAATTGAATTCTTTAATATTTAAACTTTTACGTAAATTAAAAACCTATTTTAGATGAATAAAACATTACGACACGGGCAGGACACGAAGCGGCATCCACAGCGCTCCGTGCTGTTGCTTTAACCAATCGAGCTACCATGTCCTATACGTTTTATAACTACTGCATGTTACTATAAAAGAATTAGCTTATGTAAATTATGAAATACAAATTACGATAGATCAGGAGCAGGTTTGAGCCTCTTTGTAAAAAAAAATTAAGAAACATTAAAAAAAAAGTCTTCCTCAGCTCAGCTTAAAGTTTTATTACTTTTTTTTCTTGTTACCATTCCATTTAGTTATTTTGCCCTTTAATCCACAGGACTCACATGGCTACAATAGTGGAGAGGGAGACGTCTGCGTCTCGCGAACGACTCGACTGCGAATCGGATTCGACACATTTGCGAATGACTTTTGGCGCCCGCGATCGTATGCGGTGCGACGACCGCGACGGCGCACACATGTACATGAATATATCAGCCACCCACACATAGAAAAAAACATATCAAGAGAATAAAATCTTACTATTCATTAAGCTTGGAAATTTAGCAAATTATCATAAGTGTATACCTGCTTATAAGTTTAAATTTAAAGGTTAAAAACGCGATATATATTAAAACTTATTTAAAAATGATTTTTACTGCGGTCCGACGTTTCCCCGTGACCACGGCTGCTGCAAAGCATCCGAAACGTCGAGCCGTAATTAAAATAATCTACAAATAGTTTAACTAAAATATATCGCGTTTTAAACCGTTGAAGTGTTTTATTTAAATGTGAACTACTCGTAAAATAAATACAAATATTGTAAGTAAACCCAAAATGTGTACAAAGAACAAACATTTCTTCTAGTAGTTATAGTTTGTATCTTAAGAGATGGAATTTGTGTAATTTACCCTATTTTAAAAGCTCTGTTCAAAGTTTTTGAATGTTTGATTAAAAAGCTTCTTCACAAACGAGTTCTTTAAGAATGATAAAGGTAGAACGATTTCTGTTTAAATTTTGATATATTTACTGTATGTGGTTTAATTGGTTTACAAAACACTAGATAACGTGCAAAAATTCTAATAAAGACTGAAAAAAACATTAAATCAGTGTAAATATTTGTAAATAAATTATGTAAGGCTTTCACGGCCATCGTTCAGCATATCATTGTTTTTCGGGCTGTTCGGCCGACGTGAGCGTGAGAGGTTCTTGACGTTTCGCCATCACGAGCGGACGGCATCATCAGGAGATGTCAGCTCCTCGATTGCTCGAAGAATGATGATCCACTCGTGATGACGAAACGTCGAGCCCTCGCTCACGTCGTCCCAACAGCCCGAACAACGAAGATATGATATTTGAAAATAGTTTATATTAGTAAATGAAATGTTATTTATTTGAGAATCTATAGCGGTACATATATTTTAGTAAATAGATAACTTTATTTACGGATAATACTCAATCAAAACAAGATATTTTATAAATAACTTTATTTCAACTTTCCCGAAATGCATTTATGTAAATATAAATAAATGGTTTAAATAAAATTACACTGTTTTATTTCTATGATCTATGGCAATAAAGTAGAAAGTCTTTAGTAAGTTATGTAGCTACACATAAATATTGTAATAATGCACGGATTCTTATATGGAAACAGACATAATTTTTAAATCTCGGGCAGGACTTGAACCGGCATCGCCAGCGTTCCGTGCTGTTGTTCTGCCAAGTCCTGCCAGAATCGAAATTTTTTTCAATTTATTTTCGATTTTTAAATTATATAGTGCCTTCATGTGCAAAATACAAAGTTTTCAAAGAAACAGACATACATAAAAATCCTACATGTCTCGCTACATTTAGAATAGAGATTAAAAGTACATTAAAGTTGAAGATTGTATTACAGTCGAGCAATTTAAATATATAGAATTTTAACATATCGTTGTATAAACTGGCATATTCGTATTCAATTATACAATATTAAAATGATAAACCCATGATCAACAAACCAAGACTTACTGGGCGAATCAAAAATGTTTTTTTTGCTTCGTCGTTATTTTGATAACCAATTGTAATTTTTATAACATGTGCGTTAAAACTTAAGATATAATTTAGCTTGCAATAGTTTACTATGTCTAAAAACGAAAAATTATAAATTTACCTGGTTATTATTACGTATAAATAATGAATTTATTTTGAAGTATAAGTAAACACTGTTCTCGATAAAAATCACGGTACAAAAAAGCCTTAAGCACGTAACACCGTAAGACGTACGTAGACATTTAGTCCGCCATTTTGTGAATATAAATATATTGAACATACAAAATACAACTGAATAAAAAAAGTCATTCCAATAAAATAAAAGGGTATTTACATTGTACATCTCGGTTCCTAGGATGTGTAATTTTTGGTCCTTCGCTCCGGATTAAAACAAAATGGCACATTCCGCCTTTCCAAACATTTTTTAAAGTAGTAATAAGCAAAATTATCGATAAAATTCGATTTGCATATAGATTTATTTGCAATCAAATTGCATTTTTCTTTATGTATTCCGGATACAGTTTGATTATTGTACCCTTATATATTTGACTCATAATTATAAAACTACCCTCCGAAAAATAAATTATTTGTGCACAGTACTAAACGAGTGTCAATTACATACAATAAACATATATTATAGAATTTGACACGTCGGTAACATTCACTTTGAGTGTTAAATATTGCACGTTCAAATACTGTTTGTCTATCACAGGGGCAGATGAATACATTAGATTTAGATATGAATTTTGACGTCATATACATATATAACTTTAGTATTTTCAATGTCAACTATGTCTATAACAGACCTTGAAAGTTTAGATTGTTTGATAAGATATTGATCAATAGTGAAAATAAAAAATATACGAAACTTACAGTATACAGTATTTTAGGCTAAAGTTACATACATACACATTGTATGTATGTCTCTTTACAATTTTAATTTCAAGACAAACGATTTGATTCAAAAAGAAGTTCTAATAAGGCAGAGTATTTAGAAGATAAATGCAATTACGAGACATAATAGGTCATTTCAACCCTGTTAAATGTTGCCCACATCTTTACACGTTACATATATTCGTCTGCCCAAGTGATTCATAACTGGTAACACTCACTATAACTTGGTGGCGTGGATCTGTCCGTTTGCGTGGTTAACTCGTGGCGGAGGTCTGGCTATTATGGCTTGATACATCGACCATATGGAGAGAGGTCGCATATAGGCCACGGACCGGTGATTCCCATTCTCGTAGAGGGCTTCTGGCGTCTCGAAGGATAGACCCATATTTGTCAAAGTGTTGTGGAGGCCGCCGGCCATCGAAAACGCCTGTTCGTGCATGCCTGGAGAGAAATGAAAACACCTTAATACAATAGCAGGGAAATCTACGTCAGGTTAATTTGACGGGATGCTAGCCCGCGACTCTTTCACGGCTGAGCATCCGTCCAGATCTCCAAACTGAATGATGGCTATGGCTCGGGGCTCACTTGGTCTTACCACTAACAAAAGTTAGTCCTAGCTACAAACACGTAATCCATTCAAAACATATATACATTTATTCTCTTGTGAGAATAAAAATATATCTACTGATACTTGTTTTTTGAACGACCTGGACATTATAAATAATTCAGCGCGATTAAGTTAAGGTTAACACTATTCACATAAATTACGAAGTTCAAATAAAACTCATAACGGTCTAAATGCAAAATATATTAGTTAACTTATTTTAACTACGGTCCGACGGTCCTTTATAGAAGTAAACATCCGATACTTCGGGCCGTAGTTATAACAATTTAATTACTACATTTCGCGTTTTAAACCGTTAAAAGTGCTTTATGCGAAAACTACATACTATACTTAAGCCACTAAATACAAAGTTGACCAAAATAGGACGACAGCGCATCTCAATTGTTTATAGAGCTGAGGTATTTCACTTAGCATCGGGTGGCATGAATACTTGTCTAACATCTTCTGTTGTAAAAAAGATACCTTCGTATATCATGAGCGAAGCGAGGCCGTAGGTGACACCTGGCCACACCTCCATACTCTGTAAGGCAGTGGTGTCAATTCGCCCTCGACGACCGGTTATATACCCGTTGACGGCACCGCATTTTCCACCGAGGAACTTTTGTACGTTATTATCGTATATCGCCTGGAGCGCCTTCTTCACGTTCGCTTCGGGAAACACCTCCTCGTTCCAGTCCGAAGCGCGAAGGTACCTGCAAGTATATTTCTATCGTAGTTTATTTATATTAAATTTGACGGTCACGTTGGTGTAACGGTAGCAATTTATAGCTAATAATCAACGGGCTGTGGGTTTAATTCGCATTGGGTCACAAAATATTTATAATAAGCATATCATTGTCTTTCGGGCTGTTCGGCCGATGTGAGCGAGAAGAGATTCTCGACGTGTCGCCATCACGTGTGGACGGCATCATTATATTTATTATTATAATAGATAATTATTCGAGCAATTCGTCCACAATATGCTGAACGATGGCCGTGAAAGCCTTACACAATTTATTTATAGTAAATTTATATTTTTTCTTAAACATGTTCGACTTCGTCTGGAAATCTGGATATTTAATGGGTATATCGACCCGTCCGGGTCACGACCCTCCGTCCACAGATGGAGCTTTAAAGTTTAAACGCGTTTTAGTTTCAGTCTGTGGATTACCAAATGCCAAAAATAGGTCGACATTGCATCTTGTTTAGATGTTATGTAGCTGGAGCATTTTACCTAACATCAAATACTTCACTATACTTGTCCGTTCGATGCTATCATAGAAATGGTCAAAAGTAAATTATATACATATTTCATAAACATTAATAGACTTCGTTTTAAGTGTTTTTTCCTTATATATTGCGTAAATATACATAATCAAAATAAGTAAGACGTTTTTCTTTAGTACTAAAAATATATTTTGAAAGTTTACGTGCACTGCCACGAAAATTTTCAATGGAAATAAAAAGTATTAATGCTTTAAAAGTTTTTTATTATTATATTTTTTATTGGAATGTTTTTATTGTATTATTTTAACTGGACATGTTAAGACTCACCACTGTCCCGCTAATTGATCAGCCATGACCACGTTCTTGTTCGAAGGTTTCGTGTCGAACTTATAGAAGCAGCCATTCCACAACTTCTCTCCGAAGGAAGTCTTCGCTTGATCTAGAAGTTTCGCGAAATCCCTTTCATCCTCTTCAAATCCGAGGATATGAGCCATCGCTCGCACTACGCTTATAGACGCTACCCAAAGGCTACCACAATATGCACTGAAATAAGAAAATTGCTTCAATAAACCAAAAATCCTTATTGAATCAATACACAATAATTTTCTATAACTAAGGCTGTTGAATAAGCATTTAAAAGTAGTTAACTTGTTAGTTATTAAATAAAAAAAATTGCTGGGTGTGTAATTAAATTTAAGATGTAATGAGAAAATGTATGTCTGACTGTGGCGGAAGTTCCCGAGTAGAAAAAAGGAGAAAAAAAAAGCGACTCGTGATTGGTGTAAAAATGGTAGTTCAGTCAATGCGGTTTCCGGATGTTGTAGCAAGATAATAGGTAATTTTTATTTGGAGGTTATTTTCGGATTTTAAACCGTTTATAAGTGTTTTACTACTTACTTATTTAGTCAATAGATTATATTTATAGATCATTTTATATTATTCAACGGTTTTTTGCGCCTTTTTAAATCTTCAATACATAGTGACTGTATAACGTGTTCTGGATATGCCTTACTTTGACGAGAAAAACCACTAATAGACATGGTAAATATTTTTTTTATAGTACATTTAATAAATGCAATCATTATTAGAGATACTCACCTAGGCCCAGACATGACCCAAGCATCATAAGTCTGATCTGGAAATCCCCCGTTCTCAATCAGCCCATCGCCATCTTTATCCCACATCAGAACTTTCCTCAACAGAGCGGCACAAGACGGGTACATGTCAACCAAATATTGTTTAGCGTTCCACGTGGCTACCGTCTCCCTCGGATCCACTATCTCTTGACACTCTTGAACCACCTCCGAACTTCGGTATAGGAGGTCGAGTATATCCGGGACTTTGCTAGGAACAGGCGACGGGTCTAAAGATAAGTCCACGGATAGATCCGGAGATCGTTCATCCGGCTGTTCCGTTGATCGTGTGTAGAGGTCATCTTCGGTGCCGTCTTTGACATCGTCTATGTACGCCATGGAATGGTATCGTTCGTTCGGGAATGGTGCGCTGTACGCCCGCAAGAGGCGGTAGTCTCGCATCACTTGTAAAATGTACTTCAAGTTGAGATCGCGCCATTCGGACACGTCGTGTATGTTGTACGCGTTGATGTTCGTGAATGGAATATCATCTGGAAACATAAGTTATCGACTACTTAAAACATTATTTATACATGTAAAATATCATGATATCATTTCGGTATATATGCTGTTGCTCTTTCTATTGGTACACGTTAGCCCAATTTGCAATGACACTTTTCCCGGAACTAAATTTTTTAGCTTAAGTACATTCCGGTATTACGCGAGTAGCACTTATAAATAACTAAAAAAATAATGTTAATGTTATTATTTATGCCCAAAATAGTTATTCTACACGGACGAAGTCGCTGACACAACTAGTCATGGAATATCTTACCTGGATCGCCCAAATCGTGCGGTATAGATTCCTTTATCTTGAACTTGACATATTTCCCATCGTACAACGATTGTCTGCATTGGGCTGTTTCTAACGCTATCGCATCTCTATACATATATTGTAAAACCACCTATAAAAAATATTCAAACATTACGGAAATGCGTGAATAAAGTCAAGAAATTCCAGTCTACATTACGTACTTGTAAATTAGGCCATAATTGTGCTAAGGCAAATGAGGCGTAGAAATGAACGTCGTAAGTGTTGTACATTCTATATTCGTGTCCTTCTAAATAGCCGAACAGGCCAAAATCATGTCTGAAAAAAAAACCAGCAAATTTTAGTTAAAAATCTATGTAGTATGGAAAAAAACGACAAGAGAATTACGCGCTGGTGGGTCTAAACAATTCTATCGTATAAATAGAACACTTTAACGGTTTAAAACGCGATATATTATAGTTAAACTTGTTTGATAAATATTTTTAACTACGGGGAAACCGTAACCGAACGGCGTTGCAAAGCGATTGCCATAGTTAAAAATAATTTTCAAACGAGTTTAACTAAAATATATCGCGTTTTAAACCGTTAAATTGTTCTATTTAAATGTGTTAAACTATAGGCAGTATTCAATTCTATCGTGTCCATTAAATATTGTTAAAACACCATTAACATTGCATCGCATACCATTGTATCTATATTCTGAATCTGACACAAATGCGATGTCATTTGACCAAACCAATGTTAGTACACAATTTTAATTACTTTAAAGGGTATATATAATAAAAATATTAATATTTTTTTAATTACTCTTCATAAACATTTATTGTATAAGTTTCCCGATCCCAATTATACTAATTTTCACTTTCCCTTACTTGTTTAGGTATTATCACGATATCAAATATAGCAGATTATTTATTACCTAGGATCAGTCTCTGGGAATTCTTCGCTAACATCGAACCATATCGTCCCACCGTCAGCCACGTAATAAAGCTCGTTCATTAAGGCACTTTTCAACCAGTCTGGTATATTGCTACGGGATGAAATTTAAAAGCATTTATATTATAATCTCATAACACACATTTATACCACTAACAATATATTCTAAATAATGTTTGTATTCATACGATAGAAGGGGGGATAGCGGAGTTCATCTTGATGGTGAGTGAAGTATCGCAGCCATATCTCAACAAAATGCGCTGTCGATCGTTTTTCATCTGTGGACGGTGTCATAGACGGAATTTCGATGTTCTTACCACCCACTTAAGTATGTAAAAAAGGGAACAGTAGAATAATGGGGTCAATTTAGGTCCCCTAAACCAGATAGAGACACATTCATATAGAACTAGCTAGTGCCGCGACTTCGTCCGCGTGGAATAGTGACTTGGGGTAGAAGTTTTGATTATTGAGACTGTTTATTAATTTATGTAATTGTACATTTAAGGCAGCCAATTTATGTTTTAAGTGCTACTTTGCCGCAACACTCTCACCTCGCATCACTCTAACTCCCACTCTCATTCCTACACTCACTCTCACTCCTACTTATCCCAAAAGGCCAAAGAAAAAAATTTCATTGTTCTAGCTTCGACAACCACAAATTTCCATAAAAACGTTTATCCCCTTTTTCAACCCCTATAAAACCTTATTTGGCTTTAAAAATATGCCTATGTCCTTTCTCAGGCTCTAAAATATCTGTGTACCAAATTTCATTTATATCAGTTTAGCAGTTTCGGAGTTAAAGCCGGACAGACAGACAGACAGTGTTACTTTCGCATTTATAATATTAGTAGGTATAGATTTTTTTAAATAAAAAAATATAAATGGTATGTAACACGGTTTGATTTTCTCCTGCATTTCTATCAATTTGTTAAATGTAAAAGTAGTTATAGTGACGTAACTACAATAGTTAGACATATGGTCGATGCGATATTTTTTGTAAATATTGATATATTCTATAATATTGTCGGAAATTTTTTTGTTCTATCGTAAATACTTTTCGCAGCGTATGCGATGAATGAAATTTTTGGCTAATTTTTTTACACCTCCCGTTGGTTTTCATAGAAATATCCTATTAGTCACGTCGCAATGTGTTATAGCCTATAACCTTCCTCGATAGATGCTCTAACCAACACAAAAATAATTTTTCAATTCGAACCCGTACTTCCTGAGATTAGCGCGTTCAAACAAACAAACAAACTCTTCAGCTTTAAATATTAAGTATAGATTTATTTTAGAACTTGCATTTATAGAGACATCGAGATTCTCTCGTTAAAGAAAAAGCCACAAGTAGTATTACCTGTTATTTAAAATTGGATCTTGAAACTCTGCGAGTTGCTTCTCCCAATTCTTATAATTCCTAAGCGCGTACGCAGCTATGCTTGCGCCCGCTATACCGTCACTACCGAAGTACTTCGTATAAAATCTAAAACAAAAAACAACTCATTATGGAAAAGTTACTACAAAATATTTAATAATAAAAGTTATATTGTAAATTAAACGAAATATGACAAAAACTTCTCGCTATAAACATAGAAAAATAAATACGCCACGGGCAAGACTTGAACCGGCATCCATGCTTCCATGCATCAAATTTTTTAACCCTATTGATATATGTACCCTTCGCGCAAAATTATTAAATTTTTTTATCGATTTTCATTTATATAGCGCCAGCATGTGCAAAATATAAACGTTTTTAAACATACCTTTTGTGTACTTTCCTTTCCTTCTTATATTTAATCATAGGCATGTCCCATACAAGGCAGAACTCTGCAGCATCACATCCACCGGGGTCCAGCGATATTGTGTTAGATAGGCCGATGGAATCATCTAGATCCGCGAGCAAAAACTTTAGAAATGTTCATCGTCGAATAATTATTAGTACAAACTTTTTTATCATGCGTCCTTAGATATTATTAATGACGCTTACATATTTGTTACGGAACAAATAATACTCGGGCGGGACTTGAACCGGCATCCACAGCGTCCAGCTGCTGCTGCTCTAACCAATTGACCTACCGTATCCTACACGCTATCGTCGTATTTTTTCAACCCATTGATACATGAACCTCTAAGTGTTCTAGTTAAAATAAATTGCGTCCTTTTAATGTAATTGTTTAGTATATAATAATGAATATTAAAATTTTCAAAGTCTGATGATAGATAGATCTTGCCTGTAGATAGTATAAATTCAAAACACATATTGTTGTTGTACATATTGTTGTTGTTTACTTTAAGACACACTTTAACGGTTTACAACGCGATATATATTAGTTTGCGAGAAAATTATTTTAAATAAGGCCCGACGTTTCGGATGCATATATGTCGCATTTTAAGCCGTTACAGCGTTTAATTGAAATTGTTGTTTATTCATTACACAATTCATAAACCGCGTCTGACCGCGTTTAACGTACTTACTTTTATATATTTTCTTTGGTTTATCGTGGTCATCGGTCTTATGGTCCTTATCGCCTTTGGGCGGCGTCGCTGTTTGACTAGGGTCCGGTTCCAACTTCCCATTCTTCTTAATGCAGTCCCATACATAACTCGCGGTTTTCGTCGAGTTCCACAGACAGTAGGCCTCGTGTATCGTCTCGTTTTCGGATTTATTCTTCGCTATTGTAAATGTTAGTGGTGCATCGCCGACCCTCTGTTCCAACGTCACACCGCAAGTACTCTCTTCGGAGTATCTTTCCAAATCTAGTTTTGCTGAAATGTTGATTACAATTTTATTAAGACTTTCAAAACCCTCAAGAAACCGAAGACCTCCTCTGTAGCCAAATGGTTAAACCTGTTGCCTAGCATTGCGTTACGCGCGAGAGGTTCTGAGTCAACTACTTGCCTCTTAAAGAACGGATCAGTGAAACGGACATAGAAATGTGATCGCCCCATACCCCACGAGAGCGAAACAGGATTTCACACACAAGAAACCGAAACTTTAAAGGAAATATAAGAAAGGACATTCACTAATACAATTAAATTAATTATTACGCTAGTCTAAAAACAATTAGTGTTTATTCCTAACTAGCTGATAACCCACGTCAACCGCGTCCCGACGTTCATGCGAGTTAATCTTAAAAGATAGACACATACTGTCGTAATTTGTTTAGATTATTTAAAGATGAATCATTCTTCTATACATATTTTATTTGGTTTTTAAATCGTTTTCGCAGCGTACGCATCGGAACCCTATAAAGATGACCCTAATTTTGAAAACTTTATTATTTTTTCCATGTTAGTGCACATGAAGGCACTATATAATTTAAAAATCGAAAATAAATTGAAAAAAAATTTCGACTCGGGCAGGACTTGAACCGGCATCGTCAGCGTTCCGCGGACTCGGTAGTTCAATTGGAGAGCAACAGCACGGAACGCTGACGATGCCGGTTCAAGTCCTGCCCGAGTCGAAAACTTTTTCAATTTAATTTCGATTTTTAAATTGACCTTAATTTCCCCTGTTTTTGCCACATTTTCCGCTTTTTCTTCGCTTCTATTGATCGCAGAAGTTTTAAAGCCTTATAACCTTACTCGATAAATGGTCCAAACCAACAAATATATATTTTTAATTTGAACCAATAATATATATTTTTAGTTCCTGACATTAACGGGTTCAAACAAACAAACTTTTCTGCACTATATAATTTAAAAAATCATTTTCGGATCGGGCAGATCTTGAACCGGCATCGTCAGCTTTCCGTGCTGTTGCTCCACCAATTGAGCTACCGAGTCGTACCTACCTACCTACCGAGTGGTTCATGTGCAATAACATGTGAAAAACATTAAAGTTTTCAAAACTTTTTAGCTTTATAATATTAGTATAGATACTAGTCTCTTTACGAATAAATATTACATAGAGCGAAGCAGATAGGTAATAAACACCCATACAATTTCTTATCAATACCGATGATTCACATCGTCCTTGATTACGCAAACCTAATGAACCTAAGCACAGTGAAGTATTGTTTGTCGATGTGTTAATGTATGATTGCTCAATAATTATGTTAATCAATCCCTATCGATTTAATTGCTCAAATATTTCATAGCTATTAGTAACAACAGATCTTTGTAATTCAAATTGCATTACCTCGAAACATACATATCTCACACCTGTGTTTGCAAGATAAGAAATTATATGCGATTATTTTATTGTCGTAAAAGTATCGTTTCGAGAAATGCAAATAAAGTATTTCTATTCATTTAATATTAAACCTTATTGAAGTTATCATAAGGTTGACATTTTAGTATGTACTAATCGTTATCGGATCTACGTTTTGCTGTTCTTAGATTTTTACCTGAATTTTTGCGTTTATTCAAACCGACCGGAATTTCCGTCCAAGTAAAGGTGATACTAACAAATCGTTTCTCGTTGCAAACGTTTTTGGCGGTAAATACAAAAACGGCGCAAGGCAAACTCGAATCCTGAAACAAATACTTATATTATAAAATTCCTTTTTCTCAATGTTAGTAACTTCGTCGAAACGGCTAGACCGATTTCAGTAGGTCTACGAAACGCTTCTCTTTTTAATACTTTAAAGAATAAAATTTTAATTTTTTAAATGCCTGATGTACATTTTTAGTCAATTTATCTCTTTTTTAAATTGAGGCATTTAAAATTATAATTTCCATCCTTGCTTCACCACCAAATATTTGTAATAGTATTTTCTTATTCACTTTGCGATCACAGTGCTCGAGTAAAAGAAGTAATTTTTTCTACACTAAAAAAACCCTAAAAATATATATTATTCTATGTCATTTGGTGTAATACACAGAGTTTTTTTAATACTGGTTTTAGCTGGTACATTTACATATTAAGCAACTGTACTGTTCCCTTATCAGGTTAAGTTTTATTTAACCTTTGTTATCACGATTGGATTTAAATTATTCTTTGTGAGAAGACAAAATACCAAACAATTATATAGGTTATGGACAAAGCATTACAATTAAGCAAAGTTAAAAATAACAATAGCATGTTAGAAAAGCATGAAATTTTTTTGTTTTCTAAGAAATCTTAAGGGAAATAAAAGCAGTTTGCGTATAAACCTACCTATGTTAAGGCTAACCTAAGTTAATTTCACTTTAACGGTTTAAAACGCAATATATTAGTTAAACTTATTTGAAAATGATTTTTAACTTCGGCCCGACGTTTCGCATGCTTTGCAGCAGCCGTGGTCACGGGGAGACAGACTAATATATCGCGTTTTAAACCGTTAAAGTGTTTCATTTAAATGTGCATTACTCGCGTAAACTATACACAGTATTTAACCTAAGTAATTTAAAAAATGCACAACAATTAAAATACAAATATTGAGAATGCTACTTATTACTTTCGATTTAAGCCAAATGGCTCGATTGATTTTCATAAAATTTGTTACTAATGCTAGAATAACTGAATGATTTTCTATATGTATATTCAATTCAATACAAACTTGAGGTCCACTTGATCAAAGGCCAATCCTTCAAAATAACATGCCAATAAATTTAAACTAAAAAAAAACAGTTTTTTTTGTAATTTTCCAAATTTGAGAGACGAGTTCCAACAATGTAAAATTTTACTACCCAGATAGCACTGTAACGATTAAGACAAGAGTATATTACCTTATAATTATGTGGTATAACTGGTGAAATTTGCCGGCAGACTAGTTTGATTCCATACTTGCTCAAATCATATGTGGTCCATGCTCTTGGGTATAAAGCTGTGTATTCACACTCTGTACTATCCAAGTTCCACTCCCAACTTGGAGGTGCTTTCTTTGGTTTGCTAAATAGATATTATAATACATTACTTGGTATTCCACAGATAATTAATAAATATACTGCCTCTGTGGCTTACAGGATTGTTTACCATTACATTAAGCATAAGAGCTATTGAGAAGCATGGTAAATTATATTGGGCTGTTAACACAAATCAATATATCTGTGATACACACAGATTTTCCTTAAACACACATAGAGAAAATCAGATTCTTACATAACATAGTATAATACCATTAGCGTAACAATAATAGAATGATTAATAAACTTACTTATATGTAGACAAAACTGACTGAAAAATTGTTTCATTCTTTTCATTTTGGATATTGACTATGAACTGGCATTCAGGCACTGTTATGTACTCATAAATCCCGGGGTATAACTGAAATCTACAGAATTCTCCTTTGAAGCCTCTGCCTATAGTCCCACCACCAATACCACCAATAGGACAACCTAATAACGATTAATGTTAATATGTTTTTACTGTTGTAAATAAAGTAAATATCATTTTATACTTGTAATTTAGAATCATTTTTATTATAGAATCATGCAGCTACATAATTTAAAAATGAAAGAATCAACAGTATCCATAGAAATTCTCATAATAATGCATGCAAATTTAAGCATTGTTCGTTTTCTTTGTTCTTCTGACTAATTTTGTTGTATGCATTCATGAGAGATGAATTTTCAGTATGGTTATTTAAAGATGTGGTCTTTACATCATTTCTATTTAGGGAACACTCTAAATTTATTATTCTTTCTGTTACAGTATTCTTTCATCATAACCTCATAAATGTATGTAATTATATAAAATAATATGTTTAAAAGAATGTTTAAACATACCATGCATCCTCTGAGCATTAATAGTGTGTAAGTAATCCATTATCGGTCTTCGTTTTTGCATCCTTTTTGCACAGTAATATTTCACATATCTACAAGAAAATGAGGGAAAACCGTGTAATTAACTGAATGTATTAAAATTAACTTTCTGTGTTAACTTGTGAAAGAGACATGAAAGACATATACAAAAAAGAATATGTTTTCAAATAAATATTAAACCTTATAATGATGGTTAATATAATATCAATAGTTACCTGGCTGAAAGAGGAATTAGATCTAAAAGTTGATTTGGTTTTGGTATAAGAAGCTGTTTCGTTTGTAATGGATATTCATGATTAAGGAGCATTTTAAGTCCCCATTTAGACGGTTCGTCTAAATCTAAAACAGCGTCGCCAATAGCTTCCATTGCGATTCCAATACAAAAATATATCTTTGACTTAGGCTCAATAACTGCAATATAAGAAATTGTGTGCACATTTAGTACTCATTAAAAATATATAAATCTCGAATCGGAAAAACTAAATAATGTCGCAATCAAAACATATTTTTATGAGCATGGTGTATTATAAAAATATTACATTTTTATTTGTAAATTGTTCACTTAAAAAATGAAGTTTGCATTAAAACTTACCTAAGGCTTAGTTTATTAACTATAATATTTTCTCTAAAAATCTAATTACATATTTATAGTGAATTTCCCTTATTTGCAGGACCACACAACAAATCGCGGCAAAAATACAAAGGAAAATGAAGAGAAAATTGAATTTTACGGAAAACAGTAGTGTTGTGTCAAATAGCAAATTGTGCACATACCACAGATCTCCGATAGAATTAGAATCATTTCTTATTATAGTTCATACTTAAGCGAATGGCAACACAATATGGTTAATCAACGCAATTAGAAAATCATATATTTTGTAAATTATAAATAAATAATTTTTGCTCACTCATCCTGAATAGGGTAAATTCTTCAATGTTAAACTCATTCAATATTTGACCGTGATTTGACCCCCCATTGATTAAGCATAATGATAAAAAATAGGCATAACGAGTAAGTATCTAAAATTATGAAAGGCATATTTATTTTTTGTTTTTAACCAAACATGATAAAAAATTACGATGTATATGTAGCAATCATATCTTAAATTATATATAAAATCATATCTTAAATTATAGTTATGAACAACAATTATTTAGCCTGTCTATTCTCTACATTTATACCTAACTCTGTATCTAGCCTCTAGAGTCAACTGTCAAGTCGTCAATTGTCATTTCATTGTTTTAGATTTAAATTAAACAAATAATTTAAACTTAGGTTTATTAAAAATACAAAGTAATCAAACTTTCACAAATATTTACTCACAAAAACAATGTTTTTAAAAAGAATACTAAACACTGAAATATTCTTAAGCCAAAGAGTCTTTAGCCGAGGTATCTATAATAATTACATATAGGGTTAACCTCTGTAAATTATTTATTGGTATAATAACTTTATATCAAATTATTTTTTTTCCCTGCCCGAATCTTTAACAAATGATCAATATTGCAGCGAATTCTTCGTGGGATGTTGTAACTGGTGTATGTGTGGAAAGATTGCCCGTAGTCACTCCACCTCTTAATGAAATTCAAAAGAAATACAAGGAATTTCTCTGGACCGTTGAAGTAGAAAACAGTTTGAAATCCGATCATGAACTACGACATGAAAACGACAAGTAAGTATATGTTTGACCAATTTTAACACAAATGTACCTTACATTGTTACTTATCTATTTATTAATCTGCATGGTTCAATTACTGAACAATACACCACACAAGTAATGTTAGATGTAATGTATAGTATGTTTCTGAAGTAAGTGCTACACATTAAAATCATAGCTCTAAAAAGAAAACATGGTATATTACATACTAGCTGTGCCAGTGACTTATTCCGCGAGAATGGTTATTTTGGGCATCCAAATTAGTTTTTGCAAACCCCTTCATGTTTATAAACTTAAGCTGTTAGCCATGACATTGGTCACATCCCTTCCCGTTGTTCTTGCCGGACAATATTAAAAGCGCAAGTTTTTTCGCAGAGTTTTTTAAATCATTTAAAGAGCATATAGCCTTCCTCGATAAATGCTCTAATCAACACAAATTTTTCAATTCAAACCTGTAGTTCCTGAGATTAGTGCGTTCAAATAAACAAACAAACTCTTCAGCTTTATATATTAGCATAGTTGGCACGTCCTTTTGTCATCATGTAAGTGGTTTTATAGGAAACAGGCTGAAATATTAAAAAGGGAGTCAGCTGAAGTAGACTTAGATGCTGTTAGTAAAATAACTGCTCAAGATTTTGAGGATTCCGCCACTGAAGAATTCGCACAATTTAAATTTGCTAGCATTGAAACTGGTAAGTTAATTTTTTCCTTCCATACTACTTATAACAAAACGCTTGGCTTTATATTATTATTAGGTGTCTTGGATTCAAGGCAAACTTAACTTTTGCCTCCACTACTTAAAGTGAATCATAAATCAAGAAAAATATGAATTTTAACTACAATTTTAGGTTTGTGGAATATTTGTTGTATAATTAAGCTAATTAAACAATAATATTTCAGAAGCAGATAAGAAAGGTGATAAATCCACTCATGATAGATGTTTGCAAAGGCATTTAATACTTGTCACTGAACAAAAATTAGGGAGTGATGTGAAAAATATTCTACCTCATGGTCAGTGGAAGGAAGGAGAAACTTTACGACAGGTAAGTCTAAATATTAACATATTATTGCTGTCCAGATGACTAATTGTCTTGTATATTGCAATAAATAATAATAAATACAAGCTTTGTGGGTATTTTTTAATATGTGCTCTTGGAAACTATTTAATAAATAAAAATAGATTGGTTTTATAAATAAATTGTATAAGGAGATGTTGTAAACTCCACATCAAGAATCTCTTCTCTCTCACGTCATCTGAATAGCTGAAAAAACAATGATATGATGAGTTTGGTTCTTTTTTAGACTGCTGAAAGAGTGTTACAGGAGAAATGTGGACCAGGACTTAAAGTTGATTTCTTGTCAAATGCCCCATGTGGATTCTATAAATATAAGTACCCTACTGCAGTTGAAGGAAAGATTGGCGCTAAGGTTAGTTTTCCTCAAAAGAGTCTAAAAGACTAAGCATATTACCTATAAATTTGGAGATTATTAAGAATATATTTAAATAAAATTAACTTTTAACGGTTTAAAAAGCGAAATGTATTATTTTAAGCCTTATGGTAATAAACTACTATGCTAGTTTGACATTAGGAACACCCTTCGTCTTTAATCTCCTTGTGACTATGACTGCTTTAAAGTTTCCGAAACGCCGAGCTGGATTTAAAATAAGTTTTAAATTAGTAATATATTACGTGTTTCAAAGCATTAAAGTGTTTTTATAAAATGTATACTATTCGCGTAAACTACAGACTTTCTTTACTGTAGTATTTAGCTTGTTTCCTAATTTTATAGATATTTAAAAAATTAGTTTCCCAAAAAAGATGAAAGGTTCGTTAAATTGTCCATAGATGTCGCTACTATATTCACTACATGAATTAATGTTTCAGGTATTTTTCTATTACGCTAATTACAAAGGTGGAGATGTGAACTTTAAAGCAAAATCTAATTGGCTTACTAGAAAGGAAATGACTGAAGTATTGCCCGACAGATACAATAAAGCGATACGAGAGTTCCTTATAGAAGAGACATACTGACTTTCATATAATTAATAGTCATAGAACTGTAGATAAGTAAAAGTTAATATATAAGTTGTTGATATTGTGATACTAGTTCTTTTCTTACTAAATTTGTTTGGAGATTTTCTTATGACCTACTTAAGTGTTGGACGCAAACGAACAACGTATAATATCTTTGTGGAGCTGAACTAAGTTGCGCTCAGTCTGTGAACTGTGGCAAGGTATCGATAAATATGGTGTTCTCTTCTAGTAAGCAAGACCAACGTTTTATTATTTTACTTGAGGAGTAAGTGAAGATTGTTTGAAAAAAGATTATAAACTTACTTTAAGCTCCAGCCGTTCCATGCTGCTGCTCTAACCAATTGAGAAGTATCCTAAACTTCATCGTCAATTTTTTTTTAAATTATCGATGTATGTATAGGCAATGTAATTCCAACCCTATCTCTAACGTTTTGGTTCAGTGTCTTATGCTTTGCAGCTTAAGAAACCGATGAAGATGAATTAAAATGCGATACATATATACATATGTAAGAAAATTGTCAGGGATTATGATTTTAGATAAACAATTCCGTTGCTATCTGTAATAAATATTTATTTCCTAATTCAAACAAATACAATACAACACAAGTGCACAAACATAACAACAAATCCAACTTGCCTGTAATAAAAGAAACGACATTAAATGTTTATACTTTCCTTTTTATAACCTCACGGTATTAATGTTCCGCATACACGCTGACACTCTATCTATCAACTTTAAAACCCAACTATAGAACATGAAAAAACTACAGAAGTATGTTTTTTTACATATATATATATATATATATCACATTTATATATGTGCCAAATCCCGTTTCCCCCTCGTGGGGTATCGGGCGAACACAGTACTTTCTTTCACTGATCGATTTTTTTAACAGGCAATTAGTTGATCAGACTTCTGTGCCTTACCCTACCGGAACAATTTCTTTTTTGTTCCTCTGGTATTCGAGCCCAGGACCTCTTGCGCATAACGCAATGCTAGGCAATACGTTTAACCATTTGGCTACAGAGGCGGTCATTTATATATAGATAGATAAATTTGGTAGTCAAGCCAAATAATGCCCGTATGTCCTAGCGAGTGATTAATTAATTTTGTGAACGCGGCTACCATGTCAAAGCTTTGCAATTATGCAACCACGTGCACGAACTAATAATACATTTTATGCTACATTGCAACATGTTATTAAAAGCTTCTTTAGTGCGCAGTTATGTTTCCCACACTTATCCGAAACAATATTTAGTGCGAATCTCGCGCATTCGAAATAGAAGTTTATTCAAACAATGCGCGTGAGTTACGGGTAAACAGATTTGTGTGCCCGCCGTCGAAGCTTCCAGGGGCATTTGTATATACCCATTCACACCATCCTAATTTGATTCCTATTTGTGAGCAATTAAAGTCGATATTTGAGTACCAATAATAACTTAGTACAGATATCAATGTTAACAGTATTGCTTTTGAAGTTTGAGTTTATCGTGTTGTGATGAAAGCTTAATTTACCTTGTGTAAATGGGTTAAGATGGAACACGTTACCTGCACTCTTCAAGGCTCCCGCCCGTCTTTCGTGTTCGTTTACAAACACAACACTGTTTGGCGGTGTAACATTAAATAATGTTACGTGCAATGTAAATAAACAATGTTATTAGTTATTGGAGTGTGTTCCGATTCATAAATCTAATTTATTTGCGTTGCTGGTGCCTTTGGTTCGAAGGTCAACGGGGAAACTGTTGAGCTTTTTTACTGTTTCGTTGGTACATTGGCGAATCCGCCTCGTGGTTTCGATTCCTATCAAATAGTGGGTCCATTTTGTTGGTAAATCGACGGCCTCGTTGGGGTTAATGGTAGCAATGTATGGCTAATAATCAATGGGACATGGGTTCGATCCCCACAGGATCCAACATTTTTCTAATGAATTCATAATTTTTCCGAAACATGTCTTCGATTCGAAATCTGGATATTAAATGCGTGGTAGAAATATCGAAGTTCCATTCGAGACACTATCGTAAATTTTAATTGGTTTTAGAATAACCAAAGCTTTAATAGGCCGATAGCGCATCTATATTAGATGAAATAAGGTCTGTAGATGTATCTCTCGCTTAAAAAAAAGTTGTTTTTGGATTGTGTATATAACTACCACCTGTTCTTCTTATTCATCGACTAAACACAGCTACTTTAAAGCAGTTTAAATTGAACTGAATTGCTGATATGTACGCTATATAATATAATTTAAACCAGATATTTCGCTATCTTATCCGTTGTTCTCATAATTTCACACCACTTTACTAATTCCCCGGAGGGATCATTTACCACGATATTAAATGCTCATAAGTCGTTTAAGTTTATCGTGCTTAATGTGTCTGGAGAAGTTGTCAAGCCAGTATTGCCAGGATTTGTTAGGCTTTCTATATGAGTAGCCCAAAGGCAAGTAAGCTAGGTAAGAAATCCCAAATCTTTCAATTACTTAAGAGTTTCTTAGCGGAAAATTATAGATTAATCTAGACCATACCCTCACAATACTAGTCTAGGTCAAATTATCTGTGTTAGTATTTATAGAGATACAAATTATGGTTAACTGTTACTACAAGTAAACTTAAAAAAACCTAATAATTCATATTTATTTGTACATAATAAAAATGAATCTTGGCTCGCAAAGTTTAGATTGAGGCAGTTTCAAAAAGTAATTCTAACTTGAGCTGGAAGTCCCGTATGTCTTAACATAATAACATTTAAGACAAGACAAAGACCTGATCTATGTCCGTCTGAGACGTCACGTGGAATACCTAATACAGCCTACCGGGTGACATTTGGTCTAGCTCCTCAGGCTCCTACAAGATTGCCCTCCTCGGGATACCCTTGGTCTAGCCGTCCGGTTGGTATTGACGACCCCGGGCCAATTCTCATTAGTTACTCAAAAAAAGCTTCACGTAGAAAAATCTGGAATTAAGTTTTTTTTACATCATTCACACACAGCGGAGATAGACACCTCCATGCTTATCACACGCTTGTAAAAGCTTTGTATTGTCATTAATATAAAGCTAGCCTATCTATATGCCCATCTTAAAAACACTAGTCATAAAAATAATTAGAAAGACGTGTAGGCATCCACAATGCAGGGAACTGTTTCATGTTAACCTTCTAGGCACCCCGGGGCGGTCGCCTGCAGCTAAGGAATAACATAATTGATAAAAATTCAAACTATAATCTCTGCCCCATAAAGCCACAATCATTCCGAGAAATTATATCAATGCGTGACCTTTAATAATATTTAATAGTGGGTCTACTAATCTTAGACATGAATTTGAAGTACATATTGTATTACTAATAGATGGCAAATCTAATATTAAAAGTAAAAAAAGATTTTGTAACTGTAACCCCGTTGGTACTACCGTTTTTGTTGATAAGACTAGCGACTAAGACTGCCTTGAAAAACTAAAAATATACATTTCCGAGATTCGAATCTCATCTTACGATTTATATTTTAAATAAAACACTCCATGGTTTAAAAGGTAAAATATAGACCACGTCCAGTCCCCCATAACCATGCCTGCTGCAAAGCATTCGAAAATCGAATCGAGTTAAAATAAGTTAACTAATAGGTATATTCACCATTTTAAACGGTTAAAAGTGTACTACTCCCGTAAACTACAAGGATGATAAAGAACTCAGACCAGATGTATGTATGTATGTACATATTATAGTTACTTATGTATGAAGATTTGTAAGTAAACTAGTGTAAGTTACCAACATAATTAGACAGCAGTGTCTGTTTTACAGCTGGGTCTTTAATTACTTAATAGGAGGACGTTATTAAACCTAACACATAAAATTAAAAATTCCACAGCATTAATAGACTAATTTTCGTAGCGGTCGAGAATTAGAAAAAAAAGCGGTAATAGAAACTGAGCGGGCCATTGTTCAAGGTTTAATGGACCACCCGACTGATACGATTCGGAATCTTCGCAAAAACCTCTCTGAAATGTGGACGCCGAAAAAAGAATGTGAAAAAGCGTATTTTGACTAAGACCCCCGAGGAATTCCGTAAAGTATTTTATCTCCGGCTTTCACAGTTCGATAGCGGTCGCAGTGTTAAATCGTTGACAACACAACCTTATCTAAACCTTAGTTAAAGTGAGACCCTTCGAGCTTTCGGAGCATAACAATTAAAGCTGTTTTAAGTTGGTAACTAAAATGGGAATTGAATTTTCTTGCTTGTTAAGTCTTCGAAGTTACAAAATATTTGGACATATCATAACAGAAAATGTGATAGGTACTTAGGTATATATCAGGGCGCTATAGGCAGAGTAGCCTAACTGAAATTTTATTTTCCTCCTAGAAAATCATGTTTTTGTTATTAGGCCACTTTGTCTCTAGCAGCTGATAACGTTCTTTTGAGTTGATTATTTAAAAAAAAAGTTATATTTATGAAGTTTATTTAAATGAAAGTATCGTACCTACTTCTACAGTAAGCTTACCGGGAGCCATCACTTAAGTTACAGAATCTCACCATTGTCCTGTTTTTTTAGGTATAGAAAGATTCAAAAATGTGGATGCCGGTTCAAGTTCGTAGTTTTTTGAATTTTTATTTTGAATAGTGCTCATGTGCAATAGTGAAAAATATTAAAAAATTTAAAACTTTGAAACAATATAAAAAGATTTAAAAAAATTATTGAAACTTTCACATTCAACAAAATCAAGTCGAGTTCAAACAAAATCAAATATTTAATATCGTCCAACCACCGCGTCCGTTCTATTGACGCACCTGCCTTGTTTGGGTCACTAATTACTCGGCAGTGTGAACATCGGATTAGTGTTAGAATCAAAATCCTGTATCAAAAGTCAATCAGGCAGAGCGAGGCAACGGAGATGACTCGCCTGGACGGTGCTTACACGTTGGGGGGATGTGTGAGTGCAGATCGCGAGTGTGTGTCGCTGCCAGGTGGCCCCCATTAGCAGGCGAGGCTCGAGCGGCCGCTCTTCATCTTTATGATAATTATTTTCTGTTTGTTTTCGTCGAAGAATCGGCCCGCCTAGCCGACCGACGCTTCTCGGAACCATTTTCCATTGTGGTAAATTAAAGCCGCCCGGACCCCTGCCACGACGAGAGATAATTCGACAGGATGCCGTATAATATTAATTGCACTATGACTTGTGGAAACGGAGCTCCGAGTTCAGTGAGTCATTCATTCTGCTGGATGCGACGCTGCTCGCGTGGGAACGCGCGCCGCTCTCGATCTACACCCACGACTTCTTTACGAGCTTTTAAAATTCCCTCCGAGACACTCGCCTCGGTTTCATCCTTTCAAGTTCGACCGATTCGGACGGACTCATACGGACACCGCTCTGTAATCTTTCACCGCAAATCAATTAGGGCGAAGTGAAAAGCTGTAAACGTTAAACTCCGCACTGCATCTGAAAAGAAACCTCAGTTCGTTAAATAGGGTTAACAAGGCTATAAACGGCCCGTAATGGAAAATGCGATATAAAAACCGTACCTAAATAAGCCGGTCGCCCGCCGTAAAAACGGGGATCGTCATAATGTTTACAATCTTGTGGCTTTATTCACTTTGTGTTCCAATTTCATGCTAAATCGAGCGAATAAAATCCTCTTTTATCGGACAGACTCGTCGTCTGCGCCGACTCCCGCGCCCCGCGCCTGGATCGCGTCAATCCACGGCGGCCATTAAGTGTAAAATTAAATACAAAGCCGACGTTGAATGGACCGATGAAAAGGTCCATTTATGATTTTTTAATGTGACTCAACAAATGGAACATTTTATTGTATATTGTTAATTCCATTAACAAGTTGTGGAGCATTAGAGGCCGCGATGCCATTGATGATGCACGTTGAGCACGGGATAAGTAAGAGGAATTCAAAATGTAGAAAAAATTCAATTACATTCCGTATGATACCGAGACATAACTCTGGGAACGCTGTAACATATTCAATTCGATGAGACTTAAAGGCCTCTTCACACGAAACGAGGAGCCTTTTAGGCAGAAAATAACGTCGTCGTAACATCTCTCTCTAAAAATATGTAAATAGTTTAAGATTCAAAGTCGGCAATTTTATATAAAAACTAGGCAAATATTTTTAATATAATTAATCAAAAGTTATAGGTATATGTAACCCTTGATTAATGATATTTTGTTGTGTAAATAAGCTACAACTTCAGATAAAGTATGTATTCTGTATGTAGACTACAATAACATTAATAGTAGTGTACAACATAGTATGCAACGTGACGTTGCTTGGATTACCCATTCGATTCCATTAATCAGTTTTTAATGGAATTCCAATTGTCCAAATCCGAAATAGGTCGACAATTTCAAATTAACATTTTAAAACGCGTCTTTCGAACCGCTTCTATTGTGAACAGCACGCGACTCAAGAGTGCATTGGTTAGGAGGCTCGACGGGTTATTAATTTTATGGTGTCGATGGCCGGACGCACCTGGCTGCAGCGGTCACTGCCGCTAAGCAATGCCCCCCCTCCCCCTCTGAAATCAATCACGTATTTGTATGTACACATGTTCGTTACCGTCATACGTGGTAAACACTTAATCGCTGAACCCATTGTTTTCGGTTACCATGGTTACATGGCCCCATTCCATCTTCACATAGCTTATATTTGAAACTAGCTGATCTGGATACGTTATTTCTACAAACTTTGATTACCACAATAACTCACCTTGCGAGTTAATCTTAAAATATAGACACATATACTGTCGGCGGATATTTTGTAGTATTATCTTAAATAATATTTTTTAAATTATTTAATATTTTTTTCAATTGGTTTCTTTAGCTTGAACGGTTTTCGCAACGCAAGCAACGGTAACCCTCAAAGACGAATCATTTTTCCCGATTTCACGAATCACATTTCACTCTGTTTCTTCGCAGCCTAATGGTTTGTAGCCTAATGCCTTCCTCGATAAAATCTCTAACCAACACAACAAACAAACATGTTTCAATTTAAATCAGTAGTTCCTGAGATTAGTGCATTCAAACAAACTCTTCAGCTTTATAATATCAGTATAGATACAAAATTAACCTGTGCTTAATCAAAATACTATACCCTCCATAACTTATTAAGGAGGCGTACAAGGTATTCAAATTGTACCTACTGTTAGATTTATAGCATGAAGCATGATGTACTTAGCATAGGGCTGTTACTATAAACATATTTTATGGGGAATTAATGTTTTAGTCGTAAAACTTGGACTGTTAAACGTTCGATGAGCGGAATAAAATTGGTATTTCTAGTTTTATGTCAAGTATCAACTATGTAGCAAACTATTTTACATGTTCCAAACTCAAACATTTATATTACGGCTTGTCTTAGTATTAGTTAATACTACACATTTTTTATTAAGGGGAGGACAAACGAGCATAGAGCTCACTCGGTAGGTAAATACCCCAGCCACATAACATCTAAAGAATTTTGATTTATCCATTTGATTTTTGTTTAATTCATAATAAATCTAGCTGTACAACGATGCCATTGGGCATCATAGTTCCTGGGTTTAGATCGCGTTTAAACAACTTTTCACCTTCCTATATATATATAAGACGCAGAAGAACTTGTCTTTAAATACAATCGACAAGAAAATATACTTCTTCGAGACTTCACTTCACACTAAGTAATTATAAAGATGTCTAGTAAGATTTTTTTTTATTCTGTAGCGTAAGGCAAATGTGTTCTTTTAATTGTAAATTTTATATATAAAAATAGGTATATAATATGAATTCATTTTATGGTTAAGTTCAAAGTTCTGTTACTTTTACGCAGTAGGTAGGAACCGAGTTGCCAACAAGTTTCCTCAATATATCACTATTTAATACAAATTATAAACATGGATGAGGTAATTCAATCCCTCCATCTGATAATAATTCAAATGACGAATATTATACGCTCTCTGTGATTTTAATTATTTATTAATTCACAGGTGCGACTATACCAGCTGTCATAAACAATATTATCTATGGTGTATATATTCGCCATTGTGTTTCATGGATAAATTGTCGCCGCTAAGTAATAAATTAATTGGTATTCATTTAATTGTGATCGGAATTCCAACATAGTGTCCTAGTGTAATTTCCATGAATGAACTATTCATTATGTTTTTCCTTAATAAACAAGCGTAGCTCGTAAGTGCATAATGCTGAACTAGCCTAGAACAAAGTTTCCACTGGGTCTACTCATTAATACATATTAGCTGTTTCATTTACGTAATTGATAAATGGGTATTTGAGCTATACCATCGTGGTGCTTGATTTCAAACGACGACGACGGCCAACCTGAACTGACCCTGAACACTAAGTAGCTTTAACCGAACTTAATATGCCTCGTTTCAAACCGTCAACGTCCCAAAGCTAGGTACTATTCTCCGCTCTTAGAAGAGAATTGGGATTTGAACAGTGGGGGTCAGTGAATTTTATCGACTACCGCAACTTAGTTATGACGACGAAAACCAATTGATTATTGTGTTGAGAAGTATCGAAATAACCCGATCCAGAATTCGGGCACAGTACTTAGTGAAATGCAGTTAAAAAACTGATAGACAAGACAGTTATCCTATATTTCATATAAATAACATAATTCTAGACAAAAACTGCATTTGAGTGTAAATATGAAAAATGCTTTCAATTTATTTATCCGGAATAAAATCAACTTATGTGTTAGGTTCTTAACATGTGGAGTCAAGTAGAAACATGTCGGGGTAGAAGACTGCAAAGCCTTATCGCAAGCGCTTTTCAATTATTTAAGATACATTCTTTCTCAATGATGATAAGTTTTTGTGAAGTTGCAGCTATTAGTTCTTAGCGCCTTAAGATCGGTTTGGTTAGGCCCTTAGTTTTACCTTAAGTTAATAAAAACCTAAATTGTTCAAACAAACAAGAAAAAGACCAGAGGATCTTTTTTTGCTTTTTTTATGGTAGAGGAACACAGATAAACCTATGCACATCTCTGCTTCTCTAATAATGCTGTCTAAATAAAACACTTTAACGGTTTAAAACGCGACATATTAGTTAAACTTATTTGAAAATGATTTTTAACTTCGGACCGACGTTTCGGATGCTTTGCAGCAGCGGTGGTCACGGGGGTCTCCCCGTTAAAGTGTTTTATTTAAATGTGTACTAATCGCGTAAACTATAGACAGTATTTAATAATGCTGTCGTTCTATTGATGGAGGGTGAAGTACCTCAGTCATATAACATCTCAACAAGATGCACTATCGACCTATTTGATATAAACAAAAATCCACAGACTAAAATCGAAACGCTAAGTCTACAATTTATGGCTTTTTCATCTGTAGGTATTATTTCGTGTCTCATTCCTACCGCCTATTTAATATGCAGGTTTTCTGACAAACTACAACATATTTCAGAAAAAAAATTACATTGATTACAACATGATAGGCCTGGTGGGGATCGAATGCATTGTTACCAATAGTTAGACCAATGAAACCGTCCTAAATTTAACAACGTCATATAAATAGCATACTTGGCGTATAAGTAAACATAATATGCGAATTAATAAAAACGAAATCAAAAATAAAACAAAAGCTGCTCTTGCGCAAGCCAACAAAGGCCGATGACGAACGTTTTAGCACCTCCATAAAAACTGAAGCGAAACTACGGTCAATAAATTAATAACTCATCGTCAAATGCCTCCAATTACCGGACAATATAAAGCCAGCAAGCAGGTAAACAAAATAGAGCTGTTATAAATTTTACAAGAGCGGTCGAAGGCTGGACCACCGCATTATGCGTTTTTTTTTCGACTTTTTGCGTCGTTGGCATTCGCTTTGTGCGCCTACTTCCGTCGGTACAGTTTTTATGGTGGCGCTTATTTTGGACAAAGCACTGTTGTGGAATACACACAGCCTTTATACACCCACCCTTACGAGTGACAACTTAGAAGTGTCATGCGTCATCGCGCCGGTATTTCGAGTTTTTTTTCATCTTCGGTATGCACGGAACTTGTACAAATATTTCACTAGTAACAATGCCGAGCTGTTACTATTGAAATAGCTGAATTATTGCGATGTGTGTAA